AGAAGGTCATATTTACTAAGCAAAGGACTATAATGGATGAACAAATAAAGCCGAGGCTCTGTCAGCAATATAAAATATGAGAAGGGGGAGAAATATTGGGTAGATAGTCAGTTACACAACCCCCTCTAACTAATATATTCATTTTCTTGAAAAATATGTGTGTGTGTAGGAATGGTACATATCAATCTTCACATGATTCGAATTTGGGAATAGGTTATCTGGGGTGTAATGAATGAATTTTTCAATTTTTACTTATAATATTTTATTAGTTTATATTGCTTTGATAATTTAACTTTCAGAGGCCTGCTTCAGTCCGAAAATGGCATGCTCATAAACAGAGCTAGGATTTTATACGCAAAGAGTCAAGGAAGCATATGGGATGTCTTATTTCCAGTCCTGAGCCCTAGTATCGTCACTCAGGTCCAAGTGGAAGGTTTGTCCTCACTGGGAGTCTGGAGGCACCAGGCTCTCAGAGTCTGATGCTGTGAAGTATTTAAGCTTCCAACTCCTTCCCTCACACTCTCAAAGCTGCCTTCACGTCATCAATTGGCTTCCTTGTACATTTCCCTACAGGGAAAGGATGTGGTGGACGTGGTGATGTGCCGCAGTCTGGCTGGGCACAAAATCACGAGCCACTCACAGCCTTGTAGATTCAAATAGCAATTCTTTATTCCCGAACTCACACCGGCACTCTACAAGCACGTTCTGGGCAAAATCCACACTCTCCACCGGGCTCTGAATCCCAAATACTCTCTGAATCCCGCGAGAACTCAAGGGGCCTGAGGCAGCAGGATACGCCCTATTCCCAGCAGGAATCACCTTAAACCTGGAACCGCCCTGGTCCTTGAGCAAGGTCACCTTTCATGCAAAGTCACTGCAAATGATCTGGGTCCACAATGGAGAGTCCTTCCTCTAAGCAACATGGGGTAGGCTGACAAGGAAATTGCCATGTGTCGTACCTACTTAGCTATGGCTCTCAGCAGTGATGTAAGCCTCCTGGTCCCCTTGCCATTCTATTTCTCATCATGAATGAACACTTTGGTTCTTTAGCTCAGATAGTAGGATAGAAACTGAGTCAGTAAGATCTCCCCTCAGCCCTCCAAGAAACAGATTCTCTCTGAGTGCTGCTAGAGTCAGATGTATAATTCTGACCATGATAAATTCACCAAGTAAGTGTCACCTCTGATACCATTTGGCACTTGGCCAGCCAGCCTGCCTGATGACACCCCTGTCTCATCAAGTGTAGACTCCTGTGCTTTCCTGCCACGTTCATCTCAACCAGCGGTCTCCTTCTTTATCCCTCACTCCCTTTTCCTTTAAGACTCTCTCCCTAATTCTGTCTCTCTTCCTACCTCACCACTTAACTTCCTTTCTTCTTTCCTTTTTTCTTCTTCCATATTCCACTTTAATTAACCACAGAGTTGAATAATAGTATATACTAGAGTTCAACAGTACTGTGCCCGGCTGTCTACTAAAATGATATTCTGAGCTCACATTAGCTCTGAAAGGGTCTTGTTCCTGTGGTGCAGAGGAGGAAGTTGAGGCTCTGAAAGGCTAAATGGTTATAGCTCATAACATTAAAGGTTTTTCTCTGCTTAATTTTCAGTAACTAAATTAAACCCTTTATCTCAGAAAAATTCAGTTAAAATTGCTCATAGCTTCCATCATACTTTTCCTTGTGAGTCAGTTGTACCAGAGAAGAATCTCCCTGAAGGATGCTTATTCCTTTCTCATCCTGGAAAAAGGAACATGAGATGAAGAGTGAATGAGCATGATACGGAATCGCAGCTGTCCCTGTGAACGGCAGAGCTCCCGACTTCTCTTTGCACCTCCTTGCCCTTTTCCCAGAGATCAGGGTTTGCCCCTGATTTTTCTGGAGCCATCTTAGTCCTCTCCGTGGAGGAGACGACCCTCTCTGTCTAGTGTGACCAGAATGTGAAGAATGAGGAAACCAAAATTTCAGCACCTGGATTTGTAACTTTTAGTAGCTCAGAGATGGAAGTTGTGGTTAAGTCGAATCTGCCCTCCCAAGACCACTTTGAATTATTTGGGGTGGTGAACTAGGCTGCTTAGCCCCAACAGGTGTTCCCTCATGGTCCTAGAAGACAGTGAACTGGAGAGAAGCATGCTTTTCACCAGACTTCAGTGGAGGTGTGGGAAGGGCTGTAGAGAATGCAGGCTGCTTCCATGTGTCCCAGGCTCTCAACTCTTACTCCAGACAGTGAAGGCCGCTTGGCTCCGGCAAACACAGATGGCCAGATTGTGGCAACAGGCTGGAGGAGTGGGGAGTCCTAGACTGAGGATCATAGGGCAGCAGCCTATGACTGAAGTTGGAAGGTCCAGACCGTGGTGGATCAGCACCATGGAAATTAGGTCAAAGATGGGCTGCAAGCTGAGGCCTCGGCAATACTGCCAGGGGCTCCCTCCCTGCTCACCTCCTACCCCCTTCCCCTCTCCTGTTGCTATGCCAGAGAGGAACCTAATCCTGGCCATTGTTTGGTTGACTGGCCCAGCACTTAAACGTTGTGATAAGCGATGACTTGGTTTCCTTCAAAGGCCCTTCAGAATTTCTTCACTGAACTGTCTACTCTGCAGTCTCCTGGCAGTGTAGATCCATCTTGGAGTAGCTCTTAAGATCTGGCTGATTTGCATAGATCTGTATACTCTGGGTCTTTTCCATTCTGGCCTTATTATTATAAATGTTCACCCAGGCATGGTAGCTGCACCTCTGTAATCCCAGTCACTAAGGAGACTGAGGCAGGAGGATAGCAAGTTTGAGGCCAGCCTCAGCAATTTAGCAAGGCCCTATGCAACTTAGTGAGACTCTGTCTCAAAAATTAAAAATTAAAAGGGCTGGGGATGTTTAACTCCCAATATGAATGAGTAAATAAATAAATGTTCAGAAGAAGAAAGAGAAGGACTATCTCCCTCTTTTTCTTCCTCTTTCCCCTAGTCCTAGGGTGCAGTCTGTCAATTTCTCCTGTGTGCCTACAACAGACTTCCAACAGCCAGGCGCCCTATGCAGCTCTCCTCAGTTAATTCTCCTCATTTATTCGGCGCCTGAAAGATCCTTGGGAGGCTCTGAGGGAGCCTGCATTGTGATTTATTTAGCTTTTACCCAGGGTCAGAACATTTGGGCTGAAGTCCCTGGAGCTGGGGTAAGCAACCGTGACGGGTGCCTTAGAGCCTGCTAAGGGGGTGGGGTTTGAAGGGAGGGGTGAGGGGTGATGGAGTGAGGACTCATTCTGAAATGAAAGGAGTCCTGGGTCTCTAAGCCGCTTCTAAAAATACAATCTCCCAGCGCTGAGGAAGGGGGAGGGGACAATGGAGCGTGAGGAGAATGGAGATAGGAAGGAGGTGGGGAGGTATTAACTCTTCTTCAGGTAGATCTTATTTCAGAGACCCCGCCTGCATCCAGGAACCGGACCGAAGCCACACCTCCTTCTGCTTCTTCGGTGGGCTTCAGTCTCATGCGGCGTCCGAGCCCCAGCCTCTCTTTCTTTTCAGCAGAAAAAAGATACTAATTCCATCACCCACTCCTCTTCTTGCTACTATATGATACGTATGTGAGTAAGTGGGTGTGTGCACAGCGCGCGCGCGCGCGCACACACACACACACACACACACACACACAAATGGCACTTGAAAGCAGCTTGTAAGTGACCAGTGATCTACTATGCTAGGAACTCTCATTACACTGGATGCTCAAAGAGGTATCGACTGTGGCAGAGACTGGGTGATTCACTCAGGTATACTCGGCACAGAGCATGGCGCCCAATAATTGTCGGTTGGAGGGGTGAGAAGTACATTTCATGCAGAATGCAGAGACACTCAGACCACACAGGCCAAGTAAATGCAGGACCCACCCTCACTCTTGAGGAGGCTCGAGCTAATATACCGTCCAAAGGGAGAGAGGGGGTGGGTCCCCCAAGTAAAGAGCTTGAAGAAGCAATGAGGCGGGTGGAGTTTTCTCCCCTCGAGTTCAGCTCAGATGGTGAAGCTCAAGAGCCGCCGCCTCCCTCATGCTAGAGAGCCGCAGCTCTTCCCACCACCAAACGGTTAAACCCTCAGCTTGCACATAAATGACCTTCACTAAATAGAGGTCGTGTTCCACGTTTTCTTGCGGCTTCTTCAGCACCGGCTGAACTCTGAGAAAATTGCTCCGCCTCTCTCGCAGCTGCCTCGGATTCCCCGCCACTGCGCTCCTCACCGGTCTCCTAGGGTGGGCGGAGTGGGGTGCTCAGAGGGGAACCCCAGCCTAAGGACAGCGAGGTGGTGGAATGTGCTACTTGTGTCTTGACAGCCAGCAGGAGCAAGAATCTGAGGAACCAGTCATTCATGCAAAATCTACCGCGGCCCCCATCCTGGTGTCCACATGGTTTCCCAGCCTCAGAAGCGCTGCTGGTAGGGTGGGACCTGTCTCCCATTTGGCTCCGTTTTCTCCAGCAGCTCCTGGGGTCGGGCTCGGCCCCTCCCTCCTGCCTAGGTGTGTGTCTGATGAGGGCGGGGAGAAGAGGGGAGGGGTCGAGACATGAAACGCCGAGAGCCGCAGACGCAGAAACAGGCAAGGGGTTTGGAGATCGAAGAGCTCCCCAGAGCTTGGGGTCAGGCTTCGAAACCCCCTGCAAGTCTTGGGACCAAGGGAGCTTCCAGGCTAGTTAAGAGGCTGCAAGTGTCACCGCTTCCCCGCGTGCCGCCCCTCCTTAAGCCACGCCCACATTGCCTACTTCTCAGGGTTGAGGGGCTAAGGTTTAGCGCCCTGGGCCACCGACGCCAGGTCCTCTTCTCCCTAGAAAACGAGCCAGCGCTCAGCGCTGCCCCACCCCCATGGTTTGGAGATCTGCGGGACCCCTTCCTTTCCCATTCCAGTTGGGTGTTCCGCCCCTAGCCTATAAAACTCCACCTTCCCACCCTCTGTTGGCAGGGATTGGTGGACCTCCCGCGGCGATGCCTAGTGATTGGTCCCCATGGATGATGGTGACCGGCGAGACCCCGCCTCCAGCCCGCGCTGGGGTCTGGGGGCACTGCTCAGCGGTGCTGGGCTGGCGCGGCTTGAGCCGCCGCGGCACTGACAGCTCGGTCTGCGGACCATGGAGACTGGCGCTGGTCCACACCCGCTGCGCCTGTTAGTCTGCCTGATACCGCTCTGTCTCGCGCTGCTTTTGGGACCCGGACGGCCCGGGACTGCCGAGGAAGGTAAGGAGACTGGTGGCTGTGCTCAGAGTCTGGAATGCCAAAAGATAGGGTGCTGGGGTGCTGGAATGCTAGGGAAGGAGTCATTGGAGAGACTAGAGTCTATATTGGTGTTTGAAGCAAGCGGGCAGCGGGTGGCACAGAGCGAGCGAGCGCGAGCGAGCGAGAGGCTGCTAAGCAATAGGGAAGAGAGGGGCGTTGAGGAGTTTGAGGGCTGGAGACCCAAGAAGCTGGGGAAGAAGGAGACCAGAAACCGCGGGAGCCAGAGGCGGCGGTTAAGGGGCCAGTGAGACGGACAGGCTGAGTGATTGGAGGTGGGAGGTGTGGGGGCGGGGAGATGCAGAGAGCGGAGGAGACGAGGATGTGCGGAGGTGAGATCCGAGGGTGAGGAGATGGAATGTAGCCCGCATAGTGGAGGCCAGGAAACCACTGTATGGCCAACTGGCCAACAGGAGGTGGAACGCTGGTTGCAGGGTCGCGAAGTGCCGACCGTGGAACTGTCCGCAGTGCTGAATCTGGAGCATAGTGTAAGCCGCGGTCTCGGTTGCCGGGTTTGGGGCGATCCGCTGTATCAGAGCCCGCGTCTTGCTTCTGTCTCTGCATTTAGGGGAGCTGTATGCTCAGTTGGCGTCATATGCAGGTGCAGAATCCTGAGGAGCTGGAATCAGGCGCTGACTTGCAGGGTTGGTCCTGGCGCCGGATAGCAGATGCCTTCCAGTATGCAATTTCTATGTGCTGTCAGTTGTGTGAAATCAGCACGCTGTTGGCGGTCCTGCCCACTGTCGCTGACGCCTCTGGAGCCAACCCCTCTTAGACGCTCTCACCTTGGCGGCCCACCCCCTTCCTTAAGCTCCATATGAGTAATCTTCCGAGATTTGGGGATAGCCTGGCTTCCAGTGTCTGGGTTGCTGGCTCTGCTGTCCAAACCAGTGCTTTTCTGTGACCAGTGCTGAGAGGATGCAGACTGCTGATCTGACACCTCCCGGGGAATAAAGTGGCTCCAAGCTTCTCTGGTGCAGGAGGAGCCATGGATCATACATGAAACACCCTGACATTCTTTCAAACATAGTATATAGGTGACAGCCCTGGGAAAGGAGCTGACTGAGGAAATGAGAGATTTTTATTCCTCTTGTGGTTAGTAAGGTCTCTCCACTCCATTTTCTCTGGAGATCCTGGGAGTCAAATGAAAAGGCTAAGTCTCCTCTCTGCCTGCGTACATGACTTTAGAAAAGCCCCTGAATCTGAATTTGGGGGGTATACACAGGAATCCCCTGCTACATTCCTTTTCTCCCTCTAATTGACACTTAACTGTAATTTAGGGAACCTGGGAAGACTGGGGAGTGTCACGGGTTCCCCATCCCCAATTTGAGAGCCAACTCTAGAGAATTCTCTAAGGAATCTGTGGAAAGCTGAAAAATGACACCCCTTCTCCAAAAATGTCTATGTCCCAATCCTCAGAACCTGTTAATCTTACCTTAAGTGGCCAAAAGGGGCTTTGCAGATATAATTAAGGATTTTGTGATGGAGAGATTATTCTGGATTATTTGGATGGATCCAATATAATCACGATGGCCCTTATGTGAGGGATGCAAGAGGAGTCTGTCGGAAAGAAGGTGATGTGATGGCAGAAGCTGAGATTGAAGTGAGGCACTCAGAAGGTGAAGGAGGGGATCATGAGCCAAGGAATACAGGTGGTCACTAGAAGCTGAAGAAGGCAAGAAAATGGACTCTCCTCTCAGAGTCTCCAAAGAAATCAGTCCTACTGATGATACCTGACTTCAGACTAGTGGAACTGAGATCAGGCATCTGACTTCCAGAACCGTACAAGAAATAAAATTCTGGCTTTTTGGGGGGTGGGGGTGGGGTGGCTACCAGGGATTGAACTCAGAGGCACTTGACCACTGAGACACATCCCCACCCCTATTTTGTATTTTATTTAGAGACAGGGTCTCACTGAATTGCTTAGCACCTCGCTGTTGCTGAGGCTGGCTTTGAACTCGCAATCCTCCTGCCTTAGCCTCCCAAGCCACTGGGATTCAGGTGTGCATCACTGTGACAAGCATAAAATTGTGTCGTTTAAAGCCACCAGATTTGTGGCAATTTGTTTCAGCAACCCCAGGAAACTAATATGAACTCCTTCTCTAATCATTGTGGCTACCTATCTCTGGATTTGTGGTACTCATAACTCCATTTCTGAGGAAGTATGGAGTGGGAAACATTTCTTTGTATCCTTTGCCACATTCTCTATCCCTCAGTTAGCAAATTTACAGTGAATTCAGCAAAGGATCCCATCCCACCCTCCTTGTATACTGACCTTCTGACTTTCTCACATCTCTCTTCTCCCCTCTCCTTAGTCATCCTCCTGGATTCCAAAGCCTCCCAGGCTGAACTGGGCTGGACCTCACTGCCAAGTAATGGGGTAGGTGTAAAACTGTCCTTCCCTGTCTCAGAGATCCTTCAATGTCTTTACCTCCCCATGGTCACCTCAGATCAAAACACACTCAAACCTGTGAGATCTCCAGTTGCCCTGGTGTCAAACCAAAGAGGCCTATTAGAAAATGTTGTCTTCAGTTAGTTAGACAAATAAATAGAAAGAAAGAAGAAAGAAAGAAAGAAAGAAAGAAAAGAAAAGAAAAGAAGGACTATGTCTAAGAACAGAAATATGACAAATGGATGGAGTTAATGCTGGAGTGTGCTTGTACATAGTAGATCCTGCAAAGAGTGTTGCTGATTGACAGAAAGCAAGACTTGGAGTCCTAAAAGAGGGCTTGGGAACTTGGGGTGGAGTACTGTGGGAGGCAATAGAGTTTGGTGTAGTGGAAAGGGCACTGGATGTAGAGTCAAGACACTGCAGATACCATTCTTAGCTCTGCCACTAATTCAATGTGCATACCGAGTCATTGCTCTCCTTCTGGAATTTCAGATTCCTCACCAATAACAATAAGGATTGTTGTTTATTTCAATTGAATATATACTAAAATGCAGAACAATGCAGAAATTAGCACAGCCTAAGAATGACATGCAGATTTGTGAAGTGCTCCATTATTTGTTTGTTTTGGTGCAGGGAATTGAACCCAGAGACTTGCACATGCTAGGCAAGAACTCTATCTCTGAGTTATAGCTTCAGCCAATGTTATTTATTTATTTATGTATTATTTTACTTCTTCTTCCTTCTCCTACCCACTACCCACTGCCCTTCCACTTTGGGCTGCTTTGTACCACCATTGAATGAAAAAAAATGAATAAACTCTTGGACTCCATGGGTCTTGAAATCCCATAGTTCTCCCTGACAGTGCATACCAGGCCTCACCCTTCTTTCCCTTGTTCATGAGCTCCTTAGAGCCCTTTTGGGATTTTTTGGAATCACTTTGGATTTCTACTACTTTGCCTGAAAGGGAATTTTGAATTCTACAATGCTGTAGTGCCAGTTAGCAAGAAGGAAAGTAGGTACACAGAGAAACCAGGTTTTATTTATGTATTTATTTATTGTGGTACTGGGGATTAAATCCATGGACACTTTATCCCTAGCCCTCCCCTTTTTTATTGTTTTGAGTTGTAGTTTGACACAATACCTTTGTTTTATTTATTCATTTTTATGTGGTGCTGAGGATCGAACCCAGGGCCTTGCACATGTTAGGTGAGCGCTCTACCTATGAGCCATAATCCTAGCCCACCCTTTTCATTTTTTGAGAATGGGTAGCACTAACTTGTGCACACTGTCCTTGAAATTGCCATCCGCCTGCCTCAGTTTCTCGAATCACTGTGATTTGCAGGCCCAGATTTCCCCTCCACTCCCCCACCTCCACACCAAACTTGGGATTGAACCCAGGGGTGCCCTACCACTGAGCTACATCCCCAGTCCTTTTAATTTTTAAATTTGGATCAGGGTCCTCACTAATTTGCTGAGGCTGGCCTTGAACTTGTGCCCCTCCCGAGTTGCTGGGATTACAGGTGTGCATGACTTGCATTTTATAATTTTAGGAGTGTGTGCGCTAGTGGGAGGGGAGGCAGAAAATGATAAAATGATGCAAAATGAAGTTTTCAGCCAGAGTCAGTGTTTGACTTCCTAGGAGCACCTTGGCACTGAGCTGTTCTCTTCTTTACTCTTGCCCCAGTGGGAGGAAATCAGCGGCGTGGACGAACATGACCGTCCCATTCGCACATACCAAGTGTGCAACGTGCTGGAGCCCAACCAGGACAACTGGTTGCAGACTGGTTGGATCAGCCGAGGTCGAGGGCAGCGCATCTTCGTGGAACTGCAGTTCACACTGCGCGACTGCAGCAGTATCCCTGGCGCCTCAGGCACTTGCAAGGAGACCTTCAATGTCTACTACCTGGAAACCGAGGCAGACCTGGGCCGCGGGCGTCCCCGCTTAGGAGGTAGCCGACCCCGCAAGATTGACACGATCGCAGCGGACGAGAGCTTCACGCAGGGCGACCTGGGCGAGCGCAAGATGAAGCTGAACACAGAGGTGCGTGAGATCGGCCCGCTTAGTCGGCAGGGTTTCCACCTGGCCTTCCAGGACGTGGGCGCATGCGTGGCGCTGGTCTCTGTGCGCGTCTACTACAAGCAGTGCCGCGCCACCGTGCGGGGCCTGGCGGCGTTCCCAGCCACCGCGGCGGAGAGCGCCTTCTCCACTCTGGTAGAAGTGGCTGGAACGTGCGTGGCACACTCGGAAGGGGAGCCCGGCAGCCCTCCGCGCATGCACTGCGGCGCGGATGGCGAGTGGCTGGTGCCGGTGGGCCGCTGCAGCTGCAGTGCGGGATTCCAGGAACGTGGTGACATCTGCGAAGGTATCCAGAGGATGGGAAGTGCGAGGTGGGAGGACAGAGCGCAGGTGGCAATTGGGAGAGTGTGTGTCCTAGATGAAAGAATCAGGAGAGGGAGTGGAGAAGCCATGGGCTTTGGAACTGGGAGTTCTGACCTTTTGTGGAACTTCTAGCGGGTTCAGTCGGGGCCAAGGATTGAAGTTCCTAAGAGGTGAATTGGACTCCATATAAGGAAGCTTTAGGAATCTATATTTCAGGCACTAGGATAAGCACTTCATTCAGGCCTTCTCATTTATTTGCCCAGCAACTAACTCAGTCATCATTATCCCTACCTTATGGGTAGGAAACAGACTCAAAGTTGCAAAATTAGGAAATGGGAAGTCAGGATTTGAATTCAGGTTTGTCCAGCTCTTTATAACTATACCATGTTACCTCTGCTGTGCATAAGAAAGAAATCTACAGCAGCCCAAACTTTGAGCCAGCACTGTATGAGTTCTCCTGGGGTCACTGACCAGTCAGAGGCTGGAGGGGGGACTTGTGAGTTCAAGAGAGAGTGGAGCAAGTTTGCACTAGGACTGGGAAAGTCCCTGTTAACTCTCTGCACCACACTCATTGTGTCTTCTGGGGGGAGATCCACCATGATTTTTTTTTTTTTTTTGCTGGGTTCTCAAGTCTGTGGGGAATTAGGCACAGACCTCTCCTCTCTCTCTCTTTGGAAATGGGGAGTGGGTGTTAAAGACAGGGCTATGAATGTATGCCTTTAATGTAGGAAGATCAAGGGATGCATTTTCTAAAGCAGGTCCTTTTTTGGGTGCCAGGGCAACATAAATGAATCAGACAGTTCCAGCTCTTGAGAAGCTCACAACCACATGGAGAGAGTCAAAGACTAAAAATCAAAAGAGGGTGATAGATGATATAAGAGAGAGATACACAGGATAATGAGAAGACAGAGGAGGAAATAACTGAACTTGTTCTTATTTCTTTGTTCAATCACCCACTCAGTATGAGATGAGGACATACTGGCTGCATTTATTCAGGTCTTAGATGTGTATAGATGAATACCACTATGTATTCCCTGGGGAAGTTGTATGAGACCCAGAGGCAAGACCCCTTCCTGAGCTCTCCAGATAGGCTTAGGATCCAGTTTAGTGCTCTCCAGTACTCAGTGCAACCTTCTGTACTTACCCCATGGTCTACAGTAATCTACTTGTGTGTATTGTATTTCCACCACTAGATTAAGATTTTTTTTTTTTTTTTACTGGGGATTGAACCCAGGGGTGCTTAGCCACTGAGCCACATCCCAAACCCTTTTTCTATTTTATTTTAAAATGGGGTCTTACCAACCTGCTTAGAGCCTTTCTAAGTTGCTGAGGCTGGCTTGGAATTCATGATCCTCCTGCCTCAGCCTCCTGATCTGCTGGGATTACAGGCAAGCACCACCACGCCTAGTTAGATTTAAGAACTTCTTGCACTCAGACACTGGGTCTTAGTCTCAGCAGCCCCATCATCCATAGCAGGATATGGCATATGGCAGGTGCTCTGTGAAAATGCATTGAGTTAACAAGTGGTTATCATAGGGTGTGATAGATACTAACAGAGAGCTGAGCAAGCATGGAGAAGGGAAAACACTTCTAAGGATGGAGAGGGTTTCCCAGAGAAAATGAAAAGGTCTTTATTCCAGGCAGCTGAGACCACTGTGCGCTTAGGGATTGCATATAAAAGCATGGCAGCAGGAAGGAACATAGCATATTGGTGTAAATAGGTAGCCTGTGTGACTAGAACCAGGACATGGATGTGGGGTATGAGGAGTGATCAGGCTGGAGAAGGGCTGGGGCAAATCACGAAGGGGCCATGAATATTAGACAAACAGCTTGTGCTTTATGTTTAGACCAGTGAGGAGGGATCCAACATGTTCAGATTTGTATTTCGAAAGATCATTTGAGCTGCAATAGCGGTTGGAGAGGGAAGGATTAGAGGCTAGACATAAGGAAAATTGTGCAATAGTTTTGGAGAAAGAAGGTGAGCTCTGAACCAAGGAGGTAGCAGACATCCTTGAGCCATGAGAATGGGGGTGATCAGGAGAGAGCACCCAAAGCACTTAGTGATCATGTGATCCAGGAGGGTAGGCCCCCCTTTTGACTTGTATGCTGCTGGAGGTTGAATGGACAGAGGGATCGTGCACTGGGTACAGAACCCAGAATACAGATGGACAGGTGTGTCCCAGTGGAAGTATCTAGAACGTGGAGCTGGAGCTCAGCATCAGATACTACTTGAGGCTCTGGGTACGGTTGGTACAGACTAGAGAGAACTACAGGGTAAGAAGCAACAGGGCCAACAAGGGAGACTCAGAGAACAGCAACGTTTAAGGAAAGATAGAAAAAACAGTCCACAAAAAAAGACTGAGGAGGAGAGGTGGACAGGTGGGTTGGAGGACAGCTAGGAGAGGGAGGGGTTCAGGAGGGCACCACCCATGGTATGAGTTTGCAGTTAGGGAAGCTGGGGGCTGGACAATTCACTTGGTGGCCTTAGCAAGAGCAGCTTCAGCTGATCAGTGGAGACACCAGGTTGTAATAGGTCAACATTGAAGGACGTTGAGTGGCTGGAGCAGGGAATCTAGAAGTGTGGATTCGAAGGGGAAGAAGAGGTAACATCTTCAGGAAGACCTTGGGTTGAAAGAGGGTGTGAGTGTACCTTTCATCTGAACACAGAGAAAGGGCTTTTATTGAAGGATTTTTTTTTTGGGGGGGCAATGGGGATTGAACCCAGGGGTGCTTAACCACTGAGCCACATCCACCCCCAGCCTATTTTATTTAGAGATAGGTCTCACTGATTTGCTGAGGCTGGCTTTGAACTCAGATCCTCCTGCCTCAGCCTCCCGGGATGCTGGGATTACAGGGGTGACAGCTGCACCCAGCTGGGAAGGAGTAGTTGATTACTGATGGGGGTTAGAATTGCTGATACATGCTGCTAATAAAAAGAGAGGCCAACTTTTAGTCAGTTCTATGATTGTTTGAAAACCCTCTACAGTCAGTGCTTTTATTCCCTGAACCTGAATGGACCACCTTTTCTGCTCCACCCTCTTAAAAGCCAGCAGAGGAGCCCTGTGAAAACCAGCAGGGGAGATGACCGATGGAATGTCGTCTTTGAAGAGGTGAAAGGGGGGTCCAGAGTGGAGATGGATGCACTGGCCTTCAACAGGAGGTGGCTCATCCCCTCCTCTAGGACTGGAATGAAGGAGGAGAGGGGAAAGGAGTGTAGATGGAGGTGTTTGTGGGTTTTGATGGCCAGATGTTGAGGAAATTACCAATTGATGGCCTCTCTTCCTGTGAGGTGGGAAGGAGGCACTGGGATCTTTGTCTATTCTGCTCATTGCTGTGTCTTTGGAGTCTAGCTCATAGTAGATGATAAAATCATTTGTTGAATGAACGGATCAAGGGCTGGAGGAGGTTTTGATCCACACTCTGGAAACACACACACACACACACACACACACACACACAATTCCACTCTGGTTTGTGTGGGGCTGCCTTCCTTTGGGCTGAGACCATTTCCTCTGTCCTGGGGAATGGGGAGCTAGGGATCCAGTGAAGGAGGTGCTGTTTGGACTGGGTTTTAGAGAAGTATAGAACTAGATTGCCAGGAGGAAAGGGGTGTAAAACACTGCAGGACAAGACCCAGAGGTGTGAAAAGAAGAGCGGGATGCGGTTGGCATCCTAGGGTGACTGGCAGTGGAGAGCTGCTGGAGAGTTTAGGAAAGGAAGCGGTCGGGTGGACAGTCCGCAAGCTCAGGCCTTCCCAGAGTCTTCTACAGCTAAGTCAGCCCCCTGTCTAAGGGTAGGTGGATCTCAAAGAGGGTATAGAGCTAAATTATTGTTCTTTCCCCCTGTTTCTCCCTCTAGTGACTGACTCTGTTCACCTCTCCAAGCCACTAGAGGAATTAATGAAAGAGGTGGGGTTTCCCCTTGGGGAGAAAAACCAGGGCATATGGCCTGTGTCTTCCGCTCTGTGGGACTCGCCTGGAGCTAAGGCAACCAAGCAGTTATGTTCTGAGGCTGTGCAGGGCACGGGAAGCCCGTGATGGGTGGCAGGAAGGGAGCACCGACAGGGAGGCCAATTCCAGCTCTTCATAAGAATCCCCAGCCCATTTTATTTAGAGACAGGGTCTCTTAAAAAAAAAAAAAAGGTGGTCCATCCAGGTCCAGGGAATTCCTCTAACTGCAGGAGATGGTCCCTGAGGGCAGCTTCCGAGGGGTGAGTGCCCCACTGTGAGGCATATGAGCCACGGGTCTGGCTGCTGCTGCCCCAAAAATGCTGCTGGAGGGCCAGGCCAGGCGAGCTGATCCAGGCTGGCGCTGGCCTTGAGGAGCTAAGGCAACCAAGCCGTTATGTTCTGAGGCTGTGCAGGGCACAGGAAGCCCGTGATGGCGCTGGCCTCGGGGAATCCCCTTCTGAGTGGGCTCTTCAACACACACCTCTAACAGAGCCTCTCAGCGCAGAGACAACCCACTGCTCTGCTGGGACCAGTGGCAGTCATTGTCCTCTCCTACTGTCCCAGACCCTGCAAACAAGGTTGCCCCCCAGGCCCTCACCTCGACGCTCATTTCACAAGGCAGGTGGGCAGGCTGAGATGATTATTCCCACTTGACTGATGGATTGCGGCCAGAGAGGAGTGGTCTAGCTAACACTGCAACCCAGCCCTCCTGATCCCTGTTTGGGTAGTCGCCACCCTAAGCCACAAGGTGGTTGGCCCCAGGGACTTCTGAAGACCCCTGGGTTGCTGAGACCCTTCCCTACACTGTGCTAGATGGATCTTTCCACATCTGAGCGTCTCCAACAGTGGAAATCCTCAGGCCCCTCCCCTCTCTCCCAGAAAGTTCTTCTCAGGTCTAGTCTGCATTCCTGCAGCTGTTTTCTGTCTTCTTGGAGCTGGAGAGCAACCTATCTTCCCTCATCAGTTAATCTAGAGGGCAGGGCCCGGGAACAAGGGGAGGACCACCCAAGTTCTGACAGGAGGGGCCAGCAGCCTCTGCTTCTCTCCTGGCCCAGCTGGTGGGAAATTCCTTAAAGTGGGTGTTTATTACTTTCCACTTCAAGCCTGTGAGGGAGACAGAGTAATTACCATGATTATTGTGTAAAATAGTCCATACTGGTCTAAGCCTTTTGCATGTTTTATTTCAGTTAATCCTCCACCAGCTTTGTTGAGGTGGGTATTCTACACAAGCCTCAGAGAGGTCAACCATTGTGCTCAAGGCCACACAGCAAATAGGTAGTGCAACTCAGCTACAAACCTCAGTTGTTCATATATAAAAGCCTGTGCTTTTAGCAGCTGGGCTTTGTGAGGTGAAGCAAAGTAACTGAGTAGGTGTCAAGACTAAAACCTGCTTGACTCATGAGCCGGGAAACTTTCCAGGGTCCTCTTCTCCCTCCCACCCTGCCTCCGCTGCGCAGCCCAGGGGGTGAGTTGGGGATTTATGACACACTAACTCCCAAGGACCATGGTGGGAAGAAGAGCTTTGACAATGTGCGTGTGTGTCAATGCTGATAAGTGGGAGTGTGCATGTGTCTGTCCCTGGGTGACTGGGGCCCAGCCTTTGGAGCTCCTCTCTTCGCATCAGGATTGCAAAGTTTCTTCCAATGAACCTTAGAGTCATGTAGTCTGGGCTCTAGAGGAAGAGGGCGTGGGTTGGAATCGCACTAGCTGTGGGACATTGGGCAACTGATTTTACTTCTCTGAACCTCAGTTTCCTTATTTTTCAAAATGGGGATGAAGTCACACCTTCATTAGGATCAAATGAATTAGAGGAAGTAAAATATGTCAACGCTCCCTGCAAATGCTGAGTGTTTACTAAGAGGTGACACTAGGTTGTTCACGCTGGAGGAGCTGAGTCCCCCGACTTTCCCTATCACAGTTTAAGGGTATAAACCCCACCCTGAAGGGTTCAGGCAGGAAAGGGGCGGGGAGTTGTGGAGAAGCCCCCTGCTCACCGGCCCCTCTCCGCAGCCTGTCCCCCAGGGTTTTACAAGGTGTCCCCCAGGCGGCCGCTCTGTTCGCCGTGCCCGGAACACAGCCGGGCCCTGGAAAGCGCCTCCACGTTCTGCGTGTGCCAAGACAACTATGCGCGCTCGCCCACCGACCCGCCCTCGGCCTCCTGCACCCGTGAGTGTCCCTCCTGGCCGCATCGCGAGGGTTGGGGGCTCTGGAGGCGGTGAATAACGGCGCGATCCAGATGGTGGTGACAGGGGCTCCACAGTGGGGGCGTGAGGGCGGATGTGGAGCTAGCGACCAGGGGTGCCTAGTGCAGGAAGGGAAGCCTGGGGTGGGGACAGAGACCGGGGTCTGGGATGGGAAGAACCCGGAGAGGCGGAGAAGTGAGGATTCCCGACGGTTAAGGCCACACAGGGGGGAGTGCCCTCTCCCGCCCTCAGCTCACGCTCCCCCAGCCTGGAGGGGCTCCCGACCCTCGCGCCCTCTCTTCCCGATCCCCACGCCCCATCCTTGTGCCAGCACCAACCTCCTCCCACCCCATTACGGACGGCCCCCGCTCCCACGCCCTGTCCCGGCTCCCCCAGGCCGTTCCCCTCACTGACCCCGAGCCTGACCCCACTGGGGATGCCAGAGCCTCGTGCCGGCGGGTCCCTCCTGTCGCCCCGCTGAGCGCTGTCCCTGCCGCCAGGGCCGCCGTCGGCGCCGCGGGACTTGCAGTACAGCCTGAGCCGCTCTCCGCTGGCGCTGCGGCTGCGCTGGCTGCCGCCGGCGGACTCGGGCGGCCGCTCCGACGTCACCTACTCGCTGCTGTGCCTGCGCTGCGGCCGGGAGGGCCCGGCGGGCGCGTGCGAGCCCTGCGGCCCGCGCGTGGCCTTTGTGCCGCGCCAGGCCGGTCTGCGCGAGCGCGCCGCCACGCTGCTCCACCTGCGGCCCGGCGCGCGCTACACCGTGCGCGTGGCCGCGCTCAACGGCGTCTCGGGCCCGGCGGCCGCCGCGGGAGCCACCTACGCGCAGGTCACCGTCTCCACCGGGCCCGGGGGTAAGGCCGCGCCGCGCGCCCGCACCTGCCCCGCCCCCGGGACATCCGCCCCTCCCGCCCCCTGGGGCCCCGCCGTCCCACCGCAGCCACCCCAAATCAACCACGGCCTGTGCGAGCTCCCAGAACCCCTCCAGGACTCAAGTGACCACAAAACCCCCGAGCCCGGGGATGCCCACCGGGGCTTGGTCGCTGTCCCCCAAGTCCCTGAGGGAGCGATGAGGTTCCCAGGTGACTCCCTGCCTTTGGGCCAAAGAGGATGTGAGCGTTTCCGCAAGTCTGCGGGAGCCCGAGGGTGCTCATTTCTCTTGACCACGTCGCAGAAAGCCTGGGTCCCACCCAACACTGCAGTTTGTCTGCCTCTGATTTCCCCGTGGAAAAGGGACGTTGCCTTCCCGTTTCAAAAGTTTCAGTAGGAAGCAGAGTCATTCTTCCCTTCCTTCTGTCTCAGGGATGGTGTGCCCCACTGCCTCCATCCTGGGGTCTACAAAAGGGCTTTGCTGCATTGGTCTCTTTCTTGGTCCTGGAAAAGGGCACCGAAACAGAGGGGGCAGGCAGGGTGAAGAGTCCACAGGTCAGCCAGCTCTGAGTCTGGAATTGAGACGAATAAAGGAAGACCTTTTATACTACACCATCATTCTTTTTTCCTTGCTGTCTGCCTGCCTGCCTTTCTCCCCCTGGCCCCTCTTCCACTTTCCCCTACTACTGGGGATCAAACCCAGGGGGTACTACACCCCCAGCCCTTTTTATTTATGTTTCATTAGCGACAGGGTCTATGTTGCTGAGGTTAGCCCCGAACTTGCAATCCTCCTGCCTCAGCCTCCTAAGAAGCTGGGATTACAGGTGTGCCACCATGCCCACCCCCTTGCACATTCTTGACACTGCTCCCGCAGACTCTCTGAAAATGTACACTTTCAAGTAATCTCTCAAGTATCTTTTGCAAGAAGGATGAGTGGTATGGTTTTTGAGTTTTCCAATCTGAGGACATGTGAGGGGTTTGTGACCCTACTTCCCTCCTTACGGTGTCTGAGGCTATATTTATTTTCATTCTTTTGTAAGTAACTGGGTGTATTTATGTGTAGCACACCAATGTTTGAATAATTCCTTAGCCTACTGACGAAAATTAAAATTTAACCACTATGGATTTCTTCTCATTGAGTTTGGCTGGAATACAGTAAACATTTTAAACATTTCTGCACAGCTTTTTTTTTTTTAATTCCTGGAAAAGTTGTCTTCAGTTATTGCTTTGACTAGAACTTCTGATGGCTCTAGTTTATCTCTTAAGACTATCTCTAAGCATTAGGATGTACATCCATTTTCTGATTTTCAAATCTTGACTCTTGACATTTCTTTATCATTTTAGCTCTTAATCTATTTCCTCTGCCTCTTTTTTTAAATTTTTTTTTTATTCTGGGGATTGAACCCAGGGGTGCTTAACCATTGAGCCACATCCCCAACCCCCTTTTATAGGAGCCACCACACCTAGCTGAATATTTTCTTTTTGTCATGAGGTTATAAGAATGAACATGTAGAGAGAAATATATTCATATATATGTCTATACACATACATCATGTTAATATATACACACACCTCAAGGTGACAAAAGCTATGGTGACAAAAGCAGTGTATTTTCAGCTGGGGGTGGTGGCGTACACCTGTAATCCCAGCAACTTGGGAAGCCAAGGCAGGAGGTCATGAGTTCAAAGCCAGCCTCAGCAAAAGCAAGGCGTGAAGCAACTCAGTGAGACCCTGTTTGTAAATAAAAATATAAAATAGGACTGGGGATGTGGCTCAGTGGTCGAGTCCCCCTGAGTTCAATCCCTGGTACTCCCACCCCCCAAAAAAGAAGTGTATTGTCTGTAATTGTCTCATAGCTCTGGAGTCTAGGAGTCCAGAATCAAAGTGTTGGCAGGGCCGTGCTCTCTCTACTGGTCTAGGGGAGGACACTTCCTTGTTCTTCTGTCTTGTGGTGTCACCCAGCAATCATCCAGTCCACAGGACTCAGTGTCCTCACAGCATCTTGCCCATATATGTCTGTCTCTGCATCCAAAACTCCTGTTGTGTCAGAGAGCACCTAAATGACCTCATTTTAACTTCACCTCTGTAGAGTTTCCCAAGTAAGGTCACATATTCTGAGGGCCCAGGGATCAAGACTTCAACATATCCTCTTTGGGGAGACAAAATTCAACACATATAACCCTTATCAAATATGTGACTTGCAAATATTTTCTCCCATGCTGTGCATTGTCTTTCATGTAACCGAGAGTATCCTTTGAATCACAAAAAGCTTGTAGTTTATCTATTTTTTTTAATTGTTTGCTTGTGTTTTGGGTGTCATCTCTAAGAAACTATTGCCTGATCCAAGGTCATGAATATGATGTATGTTTTATACCTGTTTTCTTTTAATATTGTGGTTTTGACTCTAATTATTTTAATTTTTGGTACTGGGGATCAAACCCAGGGTGTTCTATCACTAAGCTACTTTTCTCAGTACCCCCTGCTTCCCCACCCAAGACACAATCTTGCTGAGTTACTGAGGGTCTCACTATATTACTGAAGCTGGCCTGGAACTTGGAATCCTCCTGCCTCAGCCTCCCAAATTGCTGGGATTACAGGTGTGCACCTCTGTGTCTGGTTTAAATTATTTTAGAAAATGTTTTGTCATTTCCAGTAAACTTATTTTAATTTTGTTTGGAAGAACCAGGACAACATGGAAAGCTCAGGCAGAGGAATTCTGACTTTACTGTTCCATGGTGAGACAAAGATGATTGGATAATTTTTACTCCTTTTACATTTTTTAGTAACTATTGAGTTTTTCTTTGTATTGTAAGATATGGTAAAAATGTTAACTAGGGCTGGGGTTGTGGCTCAGTGGTAGAGTGCTTGCCTTGCATGTGTGAGGTACTGGGTTCGTTCCCTAGTACTACATAAAAAATAAATGAATAAATGAATAAAATAAAGGTATTGTGTCCATCTACAATTTAAAAAAATTTTTTTAGTGCTCGCCTCGGCAGCACATATACTAAAATTGGAACCATACAGAGAAGATTAGCATGGCCCTTGTGCAAGGATGATACAGAAATTCGTGAAACATTCCATATTTTTAAATTTAAAAAATTTTTAATAAATGTTAACTATTTCATGGATAGTTTAAAACAATGTGTATTATTTTGTAGTGTAACATTCTCTCTATATATACACATACATATATAAATTATATATAAATATAAATATATATATGCATATATATATATATATATATATATATATATATATATATATATATAATTCAGTATATTATTTTATTGTTTTCTCCTTATTTTGTACTTGATGTTCCGAAGACTGAGAGGTTTAGGTTTTCCATTCTGTTTGTGGGTTCATCAACACTCTAGTATTGGTGATGAATTTTCTCTTAAACATTTCAGTTTTGCTAGTGTGTTCAGTTTCCCTCTGAGATTCTCGGGTTTGGTTTCCCATGGGGTTCCCTCCTGTCTGCCTTCTTTCTCATTATGGCCGCCTTCCGCTGTTGGGTGGAGGCTGTGTCTTCTCATTTTGAAGATTCCAGGCTGTCTCCTTACTCATTCCTCTGTCACACTGCACCACTTTTCAAGACAGACTCCTCCTCAGTCTTCAGAATGATGTTGGGGTTCCCTTATTCAGAAATATTTTTCATATGATGTTTCCTGGTCATTTGTTTTTGGACGAGGTGATAACTGATGTTTGCGGGGAATGTGTGAATTGCCCTATGGATTGGTTTGAGGTTTTTTAATTTTAATTTTTTATTTTATTTATTTATATGTGGTGCTGAGGATCGAACCCAGGGCCTCACACATGCTAGGCGAGCGCTCTACCACTGAGCCACAACCCCAGCCCTGGTTTGAGTTTTTTAAAAGCTGAAAATAACAATACAGTTCAATCCAACCGCCTTCACTGAAAAGGATTTCTTAGCTCACAGAAGCTTGGTGTTAGAGCTTGGTGAGCCAGGTTCTTTCTGTCTTTCCATTCTGCCATCTTTCCCACACAGGCCTGCTCCCCCGGGGGGGGGGGGGGGGGGCGGGGTACGTTGGCTTCACATCACAGCCTCTCCATCCAGAGGCATAAAATGACTTTCTTCCTTGTAGGTATCTTTAAAGATTTTTGCAATGCTGGGGATCTAACTCTGCGCCTCACACATGCTAAGTGCTCTACCACTGAACCACATTGCCAACATTTATTTATTTATTATTGGGCACTGGCTGGATTTCATCGCTAATGTTCAGCTGGCCAACAAGCGCTCGGGCTCAGTTTTTAGTTTTGCTTTCAGGCTTATCAGGCTTTTGTGTAATTTATCTCTGAGGTGCTGAAATGGAAGCATATCCCACCTCTGTATCCCAGCCATCGGATGCTCTTAATGAATGCAGTTCACAGTCGACATCTCTAGGCTCTGCCTCCCTCTGTCCCCATCTGTATCTACACAGGACCAAGCCACCTCCTGGGACTCTTCTTCACTCCTCTCACCTTGTGCCCCTATCTCCAAGTGAATTCAGGCTGAGAGGTGCTCCCGGGGGACAGGGAAAAGCACTTTTCCTCTAAAACAGATGTACAATAGAGTCATGGCTGCGCATTGTCCCATTGACAAAGACCTTGCTTTTTTTTTTTTTTAAGGGTCAGACACTTGGAGGGGAGGAATAAAGGATTTTTCAAGTTATTTTTAGAATGGGAGGCAATACCACTCTGCAGGCAGCATAGCCTGGGGTTCACTACAATTATACATTTCACTCTAGTTCTACTGGCTTTATCATAGGTAAAAATACCCCCATGCGCTCCCCGTCCACCCATTCTGGCAGTCAGCTGCAAGACGAGTGTACAGTGACGTTGTGCATTTTCAATGCTTTCTGTATCTTCCTCCCCCGCCCCCCCGCCCCGTACTAGGGATTGAACACACTGAGCTACTACGTCCCAGCCCTTTATTTTATTGTTTACTTTGAGACAGGGTTTCACTAAATTGCCCAGGCTGTCCTCAAACCGTGTCGCACTTCCTCAGCCTCCTGAGTCTCTGGGATTACAGGCATGCACCGCTGGGCCCAGCCCTGGCCTGTCTCTTACATGTGTTTCTTGGGCTTATTTCCTAAACCTCTTCCTCTTCTCGAGCATTTTCCCTGGGCAGTTTTAGCCAGTTACCTTGGATGGCTCCTGAATCTCCCCATTCCTCCCCAACACCTCTTCTGAGCCTGTACCAATCACTGCTCTGCCTTTCCAACTTCTGCTCTTGGACATGCCTGGCTCAAAATACACCCAAGTAAAGTCGTGACCTTGCCTCTCAGTGACATGTGTGTATGGTGTGTTTGTGTGCCAGTCATCTGACATTATCTAGACTAGTGGTTCTCCAACTTGTCTGCACATTGGAATCACTAAAAAGCTTTTAAAAATCTTATACCAGGTGTGGTGGCGCATGCCTGTAATCCCAGCAACTCAGGGGGATGAGGCAGGAGGATCACAAATTACAGGCCAGCCTCAGCAACTTAGTGAGGCCCTAAGCAACTTAGTGAGACCCTGTTTTAAAATAAAAAAGAAAAAGGGCTGGAGATGTGGCTCAGTGGTTAAGCATCCCTGGGCTCAATCACCCCCCAAAATCTATATACTAATGCCTGAGACTCACCCCACAGATGTTATGACTAAAATACTTGGGATGTGACCTGGACATCTCTATATTTTTTATTGTGGTAAAAAGCACATAACAAAAATGTTACCACCTTAACTAATTTTAAGTGTACAGCATAGGACTGTTAATTCTGGGTACATTGCTGTGCTACAGTTCTCTAGAACTTTTTCATCTTGAAGAACTGAAACTCTACATCTATTGGATAGCGCCTCTTTCACCTCATTCCTCCCCTTCCCTTGGCAAGCACAGTTCTACTTTCTGTTTCAAAGAATTTGACTATTTTAATATCTCATATTTTAAAAGTGTGATCCTACAGTGTTTTTTTTAACTTATTTTTTAGTTGGGTTGAACACAATACCTTTATTTTATTTTTATTTATTTATTTATATGTGGTGCTGAGGATGGAACCCAGGGCCTCACACATACTGGGCAAGCGCTCTACCGCTGAGCCCCAGCCGCAGCCTCAGGGTTTGTGTTTTCGTTAGAGGCTTATTGCAGCATGATGTCCTCAAGGTTCATCCATGTTATATAAGCTCTGGCAGGAGTTTCCTTTTTCATTCTTTTTTTTTTTTCCTGGTCACCATAATACTGGCTAGAGCTGTCAGTATTATGGCGACTAGAAGTGGCAAGTGTGGGTCTCCTTGCCTCTTTCCACATCTCAGGGGGAAGGCCTCCAGTCTTTCACCAAGTGTGATGCTCACTGTGGCTTTTCATATAGGCCTTTTATTATGTTGGGCTAATTTCCTTCCATTTCCAGTTCGTTGCTTGTTTTGTTCCACTGACCAGACATTTGGACTAGTTAAATAGCTGCTCCCCTACTTCTAAATGATTTCTTATGTCTCCAAGCCATCGGAGGTGTAGAAACCCCCTGGGGGACTAGAGCCACCCACCCTGAGGGAGCTGGGGTGGTGGGGTGGGCCAGGGCAGAAGGGTTGGTGCTTCCCCACAAGAGGCGGTGGAGGTGGTGAAGAGAGTCTCCAGCCCCAGGACTCTGCCCTCTTCCTTCCCTAGCCCCGCCCACCACCCACCGCCCCGCCCACCAGCCACCCTTAGCTCCTCCCATCACCCGCACGCCCCGCCCTCCAGCCCCCCAAGAGCCTGCGCCACTTCAGCGGATCTGGGTGGAGAATCCCGCTTCACTTAATTTCAGCACCCTGGGAGGAGGATGAGATCCGCAGGGACCGGGTGGAGCCCCAGAGTGTGTCCCTGTCGTGGCGGGAGCCCATTCCCGCTGGAGCCCCCGGGGCCAACAGCACGGAGTATGAGATCCGCTACTACGAGAAGGTGAGTGGTCCGGGTCTGGGAGGGACCCGCAGCCTTCGCCCCTTGCCTGCCCGGCTTTCGGCTCTTCACGCCCCCCTCCCAGCTGAACCCTTCCTGTTTTCTTTTTGCACAATTTCCCCGTCTCCAGGCTGGAATTTCTTCTTCCTGACCCCTCCACTCCTGGACTCCATGCTCTGCCCCTCTCCCCTCAAGTTGGCCTTCCTCCTCATTAGCATCTCCATTTTTACCTCTTTTGACAAAGAGCTTTCCCTGGGGGCTGGTACAGATGTTGTGTGGTCGAATTCTACCATTTGCAGACTGCTTTTAAGTGAAAAGAACACAGAAATACCGTGTTTTTTAAATTTCTCCTCCTCCTCCTCCCTTTCTCCTCTCCTCTCTCCCTCTTCCTCTTGTACTGTGTGTGTGTGTGTGTGTGTGTGTGTGTGTGTGTACTGGGAATTGAACTCAGAGTAGCTTCACCACTAAGCTACATCCCCAGCCCTTTATACTTTGAGACAGGGTCTTAAACAATTGCTTGGAACCTGTGATTCTCCTGCCTCAACTTTCCAGAGGGGCGTGTGCCAACCAGCCTGGCTTTGTTTCAAATTTCACAAAAATACGTCTTGACCGTTGATGCATGCCTGTAATCCCAGCGAATCTGGAGGCTGAGGCAGGAAGATTGCTAGTTAGAGGCCAGCTTCAGCTATTTAACAAGACCATCTGCAACCTAGTGAGACACTGTCTCAAAATAAAAAAAAAAAAAATTAAAAGGGCTAGGACACTCAGTGGTACAGCACCCCTGAGTTCAGTCCCTAGTACCAAAATAAGAAAATTAAAAGATGTCTGACCATATGAGTACATTGCTAGGTTGGGTGGAATGCTGGTAAATGTTTGATAACCAGGTCTACAAAATAACGAGTGCAGGAATTATGATTTTATTGATGTAAAGGATGTGTATCTATCACATCATTTATAATACTATTAAAGTAACATCTTTAGTATTCATTATAAATGCCATATAATCAATTGATTATCTCTTTTTGGGGGTACTGGGGATTGAACCTAGGGGTACTGTATTACTGAGTTATTTCCCCAGCTCTTTTTATTTTTTATATTGAGACAAGGTCTCCCTAAATTTCCCAGTGTGGCCTCAAACCTGTGTCCCCCATCTCAGCCTCCTGTGTAGCTGGGGTTATAGGTGAGAACCACTATGCCCAGCTAGCTAGGTGATTCTCATGGGATGGTTTTGTAAACCTCTTGGATTATTATTATTATCATCATGATTATTATTTTGTGATGAGGTCTTGCTGTGTTTCCCAGGCTGGTCTCCATTTCCTGGACTCAAGCAGTCCTTCTGCTTCAGCCTCCCAAGTAGCTGGGACTACAGTCATAGGCCATCATGCTCAGTGGTTTTTTTAGTCTATGGGTGCAGTTCAGCTATGATTTGACAAATGAAGTTATATCCCAACCCACTATCTCTTTTCCCTGTAAAATTTATTGTCTTCTAAATCTGAGGAGTAATCTACCGTTAAACTGCTTCTCACCTTGGTGCAAATTAAACTCATTAAAGCGAAACATCTTTCAGAGTCAGCACTACACATGTCAGAACTTTGCTCACTTCTCAGTGACATGTGGGAATTCTTTGCTGAATCAGATAATAGTTTTTGAATACTAGAAGGCAGTTGAGAGCTGGGAGTGTCAGGGACCAGAAAGAAGAGGGAGTCCCAAGTCACTGCTGAGTGTCTGACCTGGGTGACTCAGGGAATAGGGTACCACAGGCTGAGATGGAGAACCACAGAGCAAGAGGAGCAGAGTGGGGCAAGGGGGTGCACTTGGTTTTGCTTATGTGGCATTCAGGGGGCCTGTAGGCCAGGTGTGGTGCTGCAAACCTACAATCCCGGCTACTTAGGAGGCTGAGGCAGGGGGATTACAAGTTTGACACTAGTCTGGTCAACTTAGTGATAACCTGTCTCAAAAAAAAAAAAAAAAGAAAAGAAAGAAAGAAAAGAAAAAAGAAAAGTGCTTGGGATGTAGCTCAGTGGTAGAGCGAGCATCTCTAAGTTCAATCTCCATTACCACACACACACACAAAAGTTGGGGGGTGTGGATAGGGTAGGGCATCCAGGTTGATTCATAGGTCTGAGGCTCAAGGTAGAGCCCTGGGCTGGAGAGAGAGAGAGAGAGAAGGTTGGGTCCTTTCAGCACATTGATGGTAGCTAACACCAGGAGGGGAGTGTGTAAGAGTAGCCAGGACAGAGCCCAGAGGAACCCTGGAGACAGGAGGCAAGGCCCTGGGAAGCAGCTATGTATGCAGCACGTGCTTAGAAAGGACTCACTGAAAATCCAGCCTCAGCAGCTCAGCGAGACCCTGTCTCTAAATAACATATCAAAAAAGGGCTGGGGATGTGGCTCAATGGTTAAGCACCCTGGAAACTCCCCCTCCACCCCCAAAAAGGACTCACTGAACTGACATTTGGGGATCAGGTTGTAGATGAGTCCCAGGCTGAGCTGGCTGCATTCTCCCAGGTCCTTAATCAGGGAGTGTGAATATGCTGATAACAAAACCCTCAAAAAGAAGAGCAAACACACCAGGGGCTGTGTTTGAGCTCCGCTGGGATGCCAGGGACCCCGGAGCCTCAGTGTTCCTCACCTGGCTTCTCTCTGCAAACCAGCCCAACCTCCTCTGCAGAGGGGCCTCTTTCTAGCACAGCCAGCAGCTGAGGTTGGGGTCCTTGCACCCTTCTCCCCCCTAGCTTACTGCATCTCTTGGGTCCTGCGACTACTGCCTCTGTCTTCCCAGGAATTTTTTTTTTTTGTACTGGGGATTGAACTTCAGGGCACTTAAGCACCACTGAGCCACATCCCCAGCCCCAGGATCTCACTAGGTTGCTAATGCCTCACTAAGTTGCTGAGGCTGGCCTTGAACCTGTGATCCTTCTGCCTCCGGAGCCACTGGGATTATAGTGGGCTTGAGCCACCAAGCCAGGCTCTTCCCAGGGATTGTCCAAATGCCAGAAAGGAGATTCTCATTGGCCCAAAGTCAGTCCCAATTTCTGAATGCCATGGTGCAAGGATATCGGCAGGGGGTGTGCCTTTTCCAGGGGCTGTGGATGTGGCAGGAGGTCTAATAAGGTATGGGTACAGGTGACAGGAGGGCAGGAGCACCTTTAGGATGTGTCATTATCAGATGCATTGGGGGAAGGATGATGTAGAGCAAAGAGCAGGCGTCACCCTGACCCTTCCTGATTCAAACCTTTGAAAAGGACAGCAGGGCTGACTCTGGCTGGCGGGGATCCCCGCACAGGCTGGTGGTAAGTAGGTCCTCATCAGTAATTGACACCGCTGTTCCCTGTCCCCAGTAGGGGCTGGGGAGAGCCTTTACCCCGCTGGGCCCAGTTTCCTTATCTGTGAAACAAAACAAACAAGATACTACTCCTGTCCTCTGTGCCTGGAAGGACCTGGGTGAAAATCAGATGATGGGGGGAGGGGAAGCCTCCTGAGCATGAGGTCTGGGCAGGTGTTGGCATCTTTCTTTTTTGGTACCAGGGATTGAACCCAGGGGTGCTTAACCACCGAGCCACATCCCCAGCCCTTTCCACTTTTTATTTTGAGACAGGTCTCTTAAGTTGCTGAGGCCGACCTCCTGCGTGCAATTCTCCTGCCTCATCTCCTGGGTCGTGGGGCTTGCTTTCTTATTCTTTCCTCTGTGATGTCAGGACTGTCGGGACTCTGGCCCCGCGTGTCCCTGGACCACCATGCCCTGATGGCCTGTCCTCCCCAGAAGGAGGCTCTTCCCTCAAGGTTCTCTTAGGCAGAAGTGGGGCTGTTCTCAGCTACCAGCACCCCCAGTGGAACATGTGGTGGACAGGGGTGCTGGGACTCCCTTGGGAGGAACCTCTGCGGGCCCCGGACTCTAGGGTCGGGTTCTGTCAGCTCACTCATGCTCACCTGAGACTGCTCCTCTCACCTCCCCCTTCCTCTCATCCTTCTCCCCACAGTGTGTGTGGGTCTGGTCTCGGGTCTGGGCCTCACTTCTCCGTTCTCTCCAGGGTCAGAGTGAACAGACTTACTCCACAGTGAAGACAGGGACGCCTGCGGTCACTGTCACCAACCTGAAGCCAGCTACCCGCTACGTCTTCCAGATCCGGGCAGCTTCCCCGGGGCCCTCCTGGGAGGCCCAGAGCTTCAACCCCAGTATTGAGGTGCAAACCCCAGGGGAGGGTAAGTGGTGTGTGCTCATGGACTGGGTGTGGACAGAGAGAGCCTGGCACTGGACAGGGACAGGGACAGGGAGACAAACAGAGGGCGGGAATGAAGCGTGCCATCAAGGGAGCCTGCAGAGCAGTGGAATCAGCCTAATTAATGAAGGAGTTTGGGGTCCACTGACATAGATTTGATTGGGTACATGTCCTGGAGGGGCTCAAAGGACAAGGGTCTGGACAGCCATGATGCCTGCCTCGGCCAGTGTCCCCTCCTCTGCAGACCTGTCATGGTGCAGAAACGCCCTGCGTCCTCTCCCAGATCTGGCCACTTTCTTGGAGGGGGGCGTTGATAAGTCTCATGGTCTCATTATGACCACCAGATTCTTCTTCCTATTCTCCTGCTTCCCTCCTGTGACATTGGCCTGCCATGGGCACTGTCCCTTTCTCCACCAGGCCTTAGGATGTGAAGGAGATATCACTGAAGGTTGGGGGCCAGAGGGGTCAGATTGCGGCAATAAAACAAAATGGACACTGGACCCTTAAGTGACCGAGTGGAATGGGCTAGTTGTGAGCTGTTCCTCAATAAAGGTCCTACGGAAACAAGGAGCGCTGGCCAGCAGATATCCTGATCTAAAATATCTGCTTCCCTGTGGCATCACGCTACCCTTTCCACCCTCTGCGTCCCTCCCTCTCCCTCTTCTCCCCACCACCCTAAATCCCTTTTCATGGCACGCAGGGCAGTTTGGCTGCTGACCCAGCCCTCAGGGTCTCACCTCTATCTACCCTGAGCAGCTCAAGAAAGTATTTTCCAGAACAAAGGCAGTTCCCCCTAAGAGGCATTCTGGCACCAGCTGTCAAGATGATAATTCTCTCCAACCTGCTACATGACTCTAATCCAAGATAGGAAGAGCTCTGAGCCCAAAGGGAGGCGAAGATAAGTGTTGAGGGAGCCGGAGTCCCAGGGAGAAGGCGGCACTTCTTGCTCGAATGGCTGTCTGTGCCAGACCTTGGCCAGGTGCTGCGCAGAGGAGATTAGAGCTACGTCTTGAAGGCTGTGGGGCATCCAAACAAGTGGAGGTGGGCAGGAAGGCGCCCGGGCAGAGGAGCCGAGTGTGTAGGCTTGGGTTTGGCAGCAGCAAGTGTGGTGGGGGCGGGAGCCGGGGCTGCTGGCTGAGGAGGGCTGTGGCTTCCGCTCACTGGGTGCCTCTCTGAGCAGGGACTGCTCACATCCCAGCCACCTCTCCTGTGGCTCTGACTGTGGGAGGATGGGTCTCCCCATCTGTGACCCGAAATTGGAGTCTTCATGCAGGGTCATGCTTTGCCCCACTGTTTATTATCTGTCGCAGTGTAACAAATCACCCCCAAACCCAGTACCTGAGGACCGCAGATGTGTCATTTCTTGGGGGCTCAGGAACATGGGGGCTGCTTCTGCAGGTGCCTGGCTCAGGGTCCTTCCCGGCCTGCAGTCTAGGTGTCCTCGGGCTGCAGTTGCCTCACAGCTTAACCAGGGAGGAGCGCAAGTGCTTGCTGGAAGCATGCTGGGCCTTGCCCCATGGGCTTCCTCCTCAGTGTGGCTCCCGCATGGCATTAGATCTCTTCAGACAGTGAGTAGAGGATGACGGGACACCCAAGACAGAAGCCACGGTCTCTCGTCATCCAAGCTTGAACATGACACCCCATGATGTTTGCCGTATTCTGTTCCTTGATGAGAGTCACCAGGGGAGGGAAGGCCAGGAGGCAGGTATCCTGCCCGCCATCCCAGAGCCTGCCTGCTGCAACTGTCTTTGTCCCATTCTCCATTCCTGTGTCCCCTGGAGGCTTCATTTCAAACACTTCTTGGCAGCTCCCCTGCTCTTCTGCCACCAGCCAGACCCTGGGTCCTGTTCACCTTCAGAACCCCGGGCTCTGCAATGCCCTCCTTGGCCCTGGCCTGATGGCCTCTATGACAGCCTGACAATGGCCCTCAGTCCCAGTTCCACATGTATGTGTACCCAGCCACCGCCACTTGTCCCTTCAGAAACGCCCCCTCTCTGTCTTGCTGCACCTGCCCTGCTGGTCCCAGGCTTGGGCGGAGGCTGCCGCAGGGCGGATTCTCCCAGGTCCAGTTCAGTCCTAGGCTGCTCAGTGCTTCCCATTCTTCACAGCTACCCAGCTTCTCCTCCCAGCAGAGGCCCTCGGTCCCTTTCTCCCTGGGCAGGACCTCTGTCCACTGTCCCTGGCTCCCCCGACCCTCAGAATGAAGTTCATGCCCTTGGCCTGGCGTCCAAGGAGGTTCTGCCTCCCTCAGTCCCTCTGCCCTCCCGGCCTCCAGCTTCTATCTTGCCACCTCTGCCTCCATGCAGTCTGTTCCCTAGCCATGTGGGGCCACCTGGGTGTGCGTCTGGGCCTGGAGGGCATTGTCAGAGCCTTCAGTCTCCAGGTCAAGATCAGTCGACACCCCTTCTGCAAAGCCTTCCTCTCGGGCTTTGGGAAGGAATTCGCAGGCTTCTGCTCATGTCTCAGCCTTGGTGAGCACTGGGCTCACTGGGCTCACCTGGTGCTGCCAGGGAAGACCATTCCCAGGGCTGTTGAGAATCCTGTTTGTTCCTTTGTCATTGTTTCATTTTTGCTTCTGTCTGTGAGCTGGGGTCAGGGCACTCACTCCCCCAGGGTAGAGCTGGGGTCTGGGCACTCACTCCTCTAGGGCACACTTTACTTGTTCACTTTTGGATAGGTGGATGAAGGGGTGGGTGGATGGAGGGGTGGATGGAGGGGTGGATGGATGGATAGGGTCCTCTGGGCCCCTTGGGGAAATAATTCAAAAGCAGAGGCTTGGGTGTCAGGTAGAGTCTTTGGAGTTCGGGTTCAAATCTTGGGTTCACTGCTGATTAGTTCTTACACATTGGGTGTTAATATTTCATAGCATTTGGGCAAATCCCAGACCTCTACTCTGCCTCAGTTTCCTCAGCTGTGACTCCTGTTACTGGTGTGATGATGAAATAAGATGAGACAAAACATAGCATCTTAAATCAGTGGGCATTTAGTGTTGGATGTTATTATTTTTTGTTAATGTTTTATTTTTGTTGTTGCTGCTGGGGATTGGACCCAGGACCTTGCACATGCTAAGCAAGCACCTGCCACCTAGCTGTACCCCTAGCTGGCTCTAACTGTCGGTAATGGTCTGAGTGGGGGTAGGGAGCTAGGAGCAGAGGCCCTTGGCCCTACAGAGCTTCTTTAAGTCTCCCTTGCCCTCCTGAAAGGGCAGCAGGGGAGGCTGGCCCTGCCTGTCTTGCTGTCCTGTCAGCCTCTCAGAGCTGGGCTGCAGTGGGAGGTGCCCTGTCCCAGGAGGAAAGACTCCAAGTGCCACTGTGGGTGGTGGAGCCACCTTGGTCCCTCTGCTCCTGGGAGGCAGTGCTGAATGCAAGGTGCTGAGGACAGGTGACTGTCCCGATGCTTGCTCAGGAGCCTCATTCTCTGCCAGCCTCAACCTCGTGGTTTTCCTCGCAGCTGCCTCAGGGTCCAGGGACCAGAGCCCTGCAGTCGTCGTCACCGTCGTAACCATCTCAGCCCTCCTCGTCCTGGGCTCCGTGATGAGCGTACTGGCCATTTGGAGGAGGTAGGTGACCCCTGGCGGGTCATGTCTCTGTGCACATTAGCATGTGCCCACGGGCACCTGTATCTGCACCTGCTTTGCACACACGAAGATTAGCACTCACACTGCTGTATAGATAGTGACTGGCCCCTGCCTCCCCCACTGCTTGCTGCTCCTGCACAGTAACCCTGCAGCTAGCTCAGCTGCTCTGGGATGAAGGGGATTTAGCTCCTTAACTCATTAAATGTCAGGAGGCATCACTAAGGATAGAATCAATTTCCAGCTGCTCCAGTGTGATTAGGATTCTCCCGAGGCGCTCCGAGGCCCCCAGCCCCTGTCCCTGAGGGATCTAGAGGCCCTTGAATACAAGCAAAGAGAAGAAAGGCAGAAATTGTGTGTGTGTGTGTGTGTGTGTGTGTGTGTGTGTGTGTACGTGGGGAGGAGAGGGAGGAGGACTCATAAGCCAGAAATCTCTCCAACCCCAGGAGAGGGAAGCTTGCAGGAGAGTGGGCAGAGGAAGGGGATGGGGGTGGGGGATGTAGAGCTTGAATCTGGCTGAGAGAAGATTCCAGTCCTTTTGCACACATCAGAGGCCTCACTGGCCTACATCCCTCCTCCACAGGGCCATACTCTGCTACCTGCAGAGGCCCCAGGTGGTAGCAGGTTGTTGATGAGAGAATGTGCAAGTTGTGGACCCAAAGGCTGGAGTGGGGGAGCAGGGGAGAGATGGGCTGGCCAGGAGCCATGCTGCAGCCTGACTCTGCCTCCTGAGACTGCCTGTGGGCTGAGCATGCACTTGGCACTGGCTGTGTACATGGTCTTGACTGGGGCACTGACAGTGACCAAGCAGGAGAGGGCATTATCCTTCTAGTCTGGGAGCCATTTTTGCCTGGACCAGGTGAGTCCAGAGGCAGAGAGGAGCAGGCAGCTTAAAGGTCCGTGTGCTGGGCCTGCTGGAGAAGCAGGGTGGGCAGCTGCTGAGGGCACCTGTCCTGGTTCTGAACATAGAGGCTCTGGAGGCAGGGGGGACGCGGGGAGCCGGGAGTGTCTCTTCCAGGCAGGGGCTCTGCAGCACAGCAGCAGCTGCCCAGCAGAGACACATGCTGCGGGAGGCAGGCGGCCTGCAGTGGCCCTCCAGACTACCCTGCAGTGGGGACAAGCAGCCGGGCCTGGTGTGAGGCAGGTTCCTCCAGCCTCACAGATGCTTTGCGACAGCTCTCACAGCATCCTCTCTCCTCCTCTCGTGCTGCCCACTCTGCTCCGTGGCCCTGTCACCTCTGTTCCCTCTCTGGTCCACCTGGCTCACCCATCCCTCACGAGAGGGCGTGGCCTGTATCTTAACCTCTGGTTTCTGTTAACTTTGCACTCCCTGTGGCTCCTGCATCCACACAGACTTCCCCCTTTATCTCTGCTCACCTCCCCTGGATGTTCCTCCACATGCACAAAAGTCACCTGCCCTGGGTGACTTCAGTAGCCACTGGTTGGCCTGACACCCGCCTCCCGCACTGTGCCTCTCAGTTCTTTGACTCCCTTATTGCCAACGACCTTCTCGTCTGTCCACCAGGCCTCCTGGCCCTCCCCCAAGACTGCTCCCTCCCCAATATGTCCTCCAGCTCTTCTGCTTTGGGCCTGCAGAGCCCACCCAGCCGTGGCTGCTGCCTGCTCTTCAGCCTCATCAGTGGCCCCTCAACTGCCAGCCACCCGGTGTGTAAGCCTGCCCCATGCTAGGCCCCGCTCCTGTGAGCTAGAGACTTCCTTCTAGCTAGGATCAATCCTACCCCTTTTTCCAAGCATCTCTGTAACCTATTATTACTTATAATGCTTGCCTCTCCCCCAGATAATAATGCACACTTACTGAGGAGGGTTAGTGATCATGTGTATGAGTTAGCTTTCCATTGCTGTGACAAAATATCTGAGATAATCAACTTATAAGGAGGAAAAGTTCATTTTGGTTCTCAACTCCGGAGGTTTCAGTCCCTTGGTTCCCTTGGCCTTTGTGGCTACAGAGTACAACATGGTGGGGGTGCATAGCAGAGGAAGCCACTCACCTCCTGGTGGCTGGAAGCACAGAGAGCGACAGGCAGGGGCTAGGGTCCCAGTATCTTCCTAGAGGGCTCTCCTTCTGACTTCTTTTCATTCCATCCCCTCCTGAAGGTTCCCCCACTTCTCAGTAGCCACACGGGCTGGTGACCAAGCCTTCGTGGGGGTCATTCAGAATCCGAACTATGTCAGTAAGCCTTTGCAATGGTGCCAGCTGGCCCAGCCGTCTGTATCCTAATTTTATTATCCTAATTTTATTAAAAGGGAAACCTGAGCCACCCAGTCCACAGCTGCTGAGTGGGGGAGTGGCAGCCAGTGCGTGCAGCCAGGTCCAGGCCATGCAAGCGCCCTTCCACGCCCACTGCGCCTCATCTTACCGGGATCTGATCATTTCTTTTGAAAAGCCCTCCCTCCCTCGCTCCTGCTCCAGCCGTCACGGCCCCTCCCCCACTCTCCCAGATCCCTGTGCTGTCCGCAGCCCAGTTTCCCTTCTGTTTCCCTCTACTTCTCTGCAGGTCTTTTGTGGCCTCCTTGGAGGCTTCCCTCTCCCTCCCAGCCTCCCAGCCTCCCACTCTCTCACTGCTGGGCTTCCTCAGCCTTGCTCCCAGCTCCTCCTGTCAGGCTCCACCCTCTGTGGGCACCTGCTGAACCCCCTGCCCATTTGCCCCCCACCCCCCATGCATCCCGCTGGCTCCTGCTCAAATGTCAAATGGGGAAATTTCATCTCCCCATCTTGGCCACAGCACCCCCGGAGCTCTGGGCAACTTCCTCGTCTTCCTTTCTGTCATCCAGCCGTCTCCAATCCTTCGGCCCCTCTCGCCTCTGTCCGTTGACACAGTCACCCCATAGCCAGAGCCACTGCCCTCTCCTGAGGGGACCACAGAGCAGCTGGGATGATCTTTGTAAAATGCAAATTGAATCACAACACTCCCCTGCTCCAGGCCCAGGGGCTCTTGTCTGCTTCCAGAATAAAAACTAGAGTTATCTGGGCTACCCTGACCTGCCTCAGGTGCCCTGAATGCCAGCCCGCAGCTCTGTGGATTGCAACTTGGTCCTTGGCTCTTTGGCTGCCCGTCTCAGGAAGCCATCCTTGATGGCCCTGGACCAGGTCAGGTGGTTTGTGTGGTACCTTGCCGGGCACAACAGCCTGCTTTGTTTGGACCTGTGAGCTTGCTGGAGGCCAGGGCTGCCAGTCTCCCATCTTATTCACACTGCTGCTTCCCCCTGCCCCCCCCACACACACACACACTGGGGTTGTACTCAGAGCCTCACCAAAGAGCCCCACCCCAACCCTTTATTCAGGCTTTTTCACTAATCTGTGGGTGGGGACAGCCCAGGGCTTCCTGCTAGGGAGGTGGATTTGGCTGCCTTTGGGGAGTTTCATTGTCTCCAGGTGGAAATAATTAGAACTGCTGATGGGATGAAGGGCTGGGGCTGGGGCTGGGGCTGGGGCTGGGGCTGGGGCTGGGGCTGGGGCTGTACCTGTGCTGTGCGGAGGAGGTTGTCAACTATGGAGGGGGGGGGCAGGGCAGCAAAAAAAAAAAAAAAAAAAAAAAGGAAATAGAGGAAGGAAGGGCTATAGAGGTTTCAAACCAACAGGATAAAAAGGTCCCTCCCCAGTGGCACAGACCTTGTCTGTTTGAAGGGACACCAAGGTGCTGCCCTTGGTGCTGGTGAGGTGAGAAGAACTGAGGGGCCTGGTGGAGCTGGGCATGGTGGCACTCACTCGGTGTCCCAGCAATCCCAGAGGCTGAGCCAGGAGGCTTGCCATTTCCAGGCCAGCCCCAGCCTCATCAGGACCCTGAGCAGGAGCTTGTCTCAAAATAGAAATAGAAAAGGGCTGGGGTGTAGCTCTGTGTTCCGGCACCCCTGGTTCAGCCTTCAGTAACAACAAAACAAAGCCTGGCCCATCCCTCTCGCAGGCCCTGCAGCTATGGCAAAGGAGGTGGTGACGCCCGTGATGAAGAGGAGCTGTACTTCCACTGTGAGTCTGGGCCTGGCCTCGAGGGGCCACCTACCTCTCCCGAGCCCCTGAGCCCCTGCTTCGCTGCTATTGCCCAGCCAGGAAGCCTCTTCTCAAACTTCTCTTTCCTTGCCTTCTCAGTCAAAGTCCCGACACGGCGCACGTTCCTGGACCCTCAGAGCTGTGGGGACCCGCTGCAGGCTGTGCATCTGTTTGCCAAGGAATTGGACGCGAAAAGTGTCACACTGGAGAGGAGCCTGGGAGCAGGCAAGCTGGGCACCTGGAAGCCTTGATGCCATCCAGGGGTCCTACCCACTATAGAAGCCCCACCCACCAAGCCACACCCAGCCTCGAAGTCCCACCTGTCCCAGTAGAGCTCTCTGGAAGTGCCTCACCCACTGCCCTCCCCACTCTAGAAGCCCCACCCCACCCACTCTAAAAGCCCTTCCCCATCCACTGTAAAGCCCTGCCTCCACTCTGTCGTCCCCACCTGTACCCTGTCAACCCAGCCTCCTCCAGGTCTTCAAGGTCACTTTGAGACTTCTCTGCTGGGTCCCATTCAGGGTTACCCCTGCAGGCTGCCGTGGGCAGTGTAGCTCCGAGCCTCCAAGGGGGAAGTGCAGAAGGGTCTTTGTAAGCATGGGACCAGACACACCTGCATTCTGGTCCTGGCTTTTCCGTTAAGCTGTATGACCAGGGCATGTCTCTCTTCTGCTCTGCACCTCGGTTTCTCCTCTGCAAAATGGGCGTGGCATCTGCCTTATGGGGCTGATGTGAGGACTTTGCTGCGCTCACAGTGGCCTGCCTGGCTTGCTCTCTGAGGGTCAGTCTCCTGCCTGCCTTTTACGAGTCCCCACCTCTCTATTCCCAGAGAAACCTAACACTCTGACCAGAGCCTGACGTTTTCCCAACACTGTCACCAGACCTGCTGGCCAGAAGCCAGAAAGGGGCAGTATGTTAAAATAGATGTCATTGTCATAGGTCCAGGGTCATGCTGGCTTTAATAGCTTTGATGGACTGGCAAGTGCAACATCCTCTCTTTGAAGCTTCACAGAGAAGGAAATTGAGGTCAAGAGAGAGAGAGATGAAGCTCAAGGTCATTCTGCTAGTACTCAGGTTACTGGGATCTGAACTCAGGAGCTCCAAACCCCTGGCCAGAAACAAACCGGGACCCACAGTCACTTTCTCCTGGGCCAGGTGCTCTAGGGTGGCATCTGAGCATTGTTCCCTGCAGGGCGGTTCGGGGACTTGTGCTGTGGCTGCCTGCAGTTGCCTGGGCGCCAGGAGCTGCCCGTGGCCGTGCACACGCTGAGGGATGGCTGCTCCGACTCTCAGAGGCTCAGCTTCCTGGCTGAGGCCCTAACTCTGGGCCAGTTTGACCACAGCCACATCGTGCGGCTGGAGGGCGTGGTCACCCGAGGTAGGCCCTGGGCTCCACTTCCTGCTCCCCAGCCCCACATGGGGAGTGGAAATGATGGGGGTAGGTGGGGTGCTCCTCCAGGCCCCTCCCTCAGCCACAAGAGGGAGCCCATAAAGGGCTCTCAGCTCCCTTCCACGGACTCAGGTGGCTTCTCTCCAGAGTGGCCCCTCTGACCTGGAATGACCTTTCTGCCCTGTGGTGACACTGGGCAGTGGATTGCTTGGACTTCTGATGATCTTTCCTAGCTAACTTGTTGAGCTCCTGATCTTGTCCTCTTAGACACCGGCTCTTTTGTGTCTTGGCACAGGGGATGCAGGGCCAGGCTGGGTGGTGGCAGATGAGGGAGCTTGGTTTTGGTTCTGGCCATCCTAGTCAAGATGCAGTCCTGCGGGGTGGGATGTATGTGCATAGGGTGGAGCAGGTGACTAAGTGTGTGTGTTCCCCATCCCTGGCGCAGGAAGCCCCTTGATGATTGTCACTGAGTACATGAGCCATGGGGCCCTGGATGGCTTCCTCAGGGTGAGTGGCCCGGGCCCTGGGGATACTAATGACCATGTTATTCTTGGTCCCTCACTTTTCTCCTTGGTGGGGCTTGGATTGGCTTTATTCCTGATGGCCAGGCTGACCTGGTGGTCACAGGGTACACAGATGCCCAGGGACAACCAGGCGGCTTCCTTGAAGTTCACAGAGAATGAGTGCACTGCCCTGGCCTCAGCCTCCCACTCCCTCCACCCTACAGCAGCATGAGGGGCAGCTGGTGGCCGGACAGCTGATGGGGTTGCTGCCTGGGCTGGCATCAGCCATGAAGTATCTGTCGGAGATGGGCTATGTTCACCGGGGCCTGGCAGCCCGCCGTGTGCTGGTCAGCAGTGGCCTCCTTTGTAAGATCTCTGGCTTTGGGCGGGGTCCCCGGGACCGAGCAGAGGCTGTCTATACCACCATGGTGAGTGTTCCCTTCCCCCAGCCCAGCCCCCTGTCCTCCTGTTTTCTGTCCAGCTACCTTGGAGTCTCTGTCTCCCTCTCCCTACCCCTGTCCCTGTCACTCCCCACCCTGTCCCTCCAGCCTGTGGGCCTGAGCAAAGGTCAGTGGGCACCACTCTGTGGTCAGCTGGGGCTTTCCTGAGACAGAAGCTGGGGGTGGGGTGCCACCTGGGAGGATGACAGGTGGGGCTGGGTGCAGGGTGGGGAAGCCTGGGTGTGACTCCGTTCCTCTCTGTCCTACCTGCTTGCCCATCCACAGAGTGGCCGGAGCCCAGCGCTCTGGGCAGCCCCTGAGACTCTTCAGTTTGGTCACTTCAGCTCTGCCAGTGACGTGTGGAGCTTTGGTGTCGTCATGTGGGAGGTGATGGCCTTTGGGGAGCGGCCCTACTGGGACATGTCTGGCCAGGATGTGAGTGACCTGTGGCTCAGCTCTTTGCCCTGTGACGCACCCTCTGGCCCCAGGCTCCAGCACCTGTCTTCTTCCCACTGACCTCCTGGCTCCAGGCCCCCTTCTCTATCTACCTCCTTCCTGTCCTGCCTGGCCACCACCTGAGTCCTCCTTGGGATGGTGTCTCTGTGTGTGCGTGTGTGTGCTTGTGTCGGGGAGACCTGAAGCCTCCTGTCTGCTTCTCATCCCCATGACCCAGGTGATCAAGGCCGTGGAGGATGGCTTCCGGCTGCCACCCCCCAGGAACTGTCCCTCCCCCCTGCACCGACTGATGCTTGACTGCTGGCAGAAAGACCCAGGCGAGAGGCCCAGGTTCTCGCAGATCCACGGCATCCTGAGCAAGATGGTGCAGGACCCAGAACCCTCCACGTGTGCCACTGCTGCCTGTCCCAGGTACCTTCCTGTTGATCCCCGACCATGCCAGACTCCGTCACCATGTTTGTAGTTCCAGTAAACGGAGTAAGCGGAGTTGATATTAGTTGTTCCAGCACTTCATCGGCTATGCCTGTTTTCTAGGTATGCCCGCCATAGACTCTTCCCAACACTCCCAGCACTTGAACTATCCCCCCCACCCACCAGAGCATCCAAAACCTTGCCAGGCTTGGCGCTGGGCTCAGTTGCTTCCCCTTTCTCACTGATTCTTGGGGACCTCTGCAGGAGAGCAGCGGGTTTGGGCACCAGGTCCCAGCTGTCTGAGGTAGCTCCTCTGCTCCCCAGGCCTCCCACCCCACTGGCAGACCGTGCCTTCTCCACCTTCCCCTCTTTTGGCTCTGTGGGTGCCTGGCTGGAGGCCCTGGACCTGAGCCGCTACAAGGACAGCTTCACTGCAGCGGGCTACGGGACACTGGAGGCTGCAGCTGAAATGACCAACCAGTGAGTCAAGTCAGGGCAAAGCCAGGGGTTACAGAGACCCTGCCTTGCCCTGATGGGAAGCCCCTGCTTGTCCTGGCTCTGGGCCCAGCCCTGTCCAAAGAAGGGGAGGGGGAGGAGGGAAGGAAGCGGGAGGGCGCTGGACGCTATCTGACCAGCCCTTGTTCCAGGGACCTGGTGAGCCTGGGCATTTCCTCGGCAGAGCATCGAGAGGCCCTCCTGAGTGGGATCAGCGCCCTGCGGGCTCGAGTGCTGCAGCTGCAGGGCCAGGGGGTGCAGGTGTGAGTGGCCCTGACCCTTCCAAGGCAGAGCCCCAGGGGCCTGACCCCCAGCCCTGCCCAAGGACCCTGGCAAACTGCACTCTAGCCGTGTGGGACTGAGCACCCTCTTCTCCTCTTGGGCCCAGAGCTGGTTTGGGGCCACAGTGTACCCCATTTCACTGCCTGCTTCTCCCACTTTCCCCTCTGAACACTTCACTGACCTGGTACCCATGGAAAAGAGGTTCAAATGCCCAGGGTGAGGGGGAGACCCCTGAGACAGTAGCAGGTGGAAATTCAGGTCTCAGGGCAGAGACAGGGCATGATGGGGAGGGAGACAGTAGATTTCAATTGCCCTGGCTCATGCCCCTCTGTCTTCTATACCCACTGGGTATTGGGGCCTTCCTGGGTGTCCCCTCTTCCCACAGACCCATTGTCAGTCAAGACAGCATGGGTCCTGACTCATGACCCACAGTCAAGGGCACCCATTCAACCCAGTAGCGACCCCAGCTGCTTGGCAGCCTGGGTATGGGAGGCTGGGCTGCAGGGGCAGGGTCCGTAGCTCCCTGTGCTGTGTGTGGGTCTCTCTGGACACTAGTCCTAAGACCCAGGCAGGCAAAAGTGGTGCTGAGCACAGGGGTTGGACCCTAAAGCCCCAGACTCAGAGCTGACTGCTTGCCCACCCTTAGGCTGACAGGGTGAGGGAGAGGGTCCAGGCTGGGCCATACAAGCTCTGGTGCTCTCGAGGGGCCCCAAGAGGCCCCTGTTTGCATTGTTTTCATGAACTGGCTTGGAAGAGCATAAGGGAACATGTCTTCTCCATGGGGCCCTGGGGGCTCATGAGGAATCTTAGAAATGTGTTTTCCTCTTTAGCCGCTGGCCTACCCCCTACAGAGAGGGAAAGCCAAGTCCATGGGACTCAGGGCTGGAGCTGGGGCAGAACCCAGTTGAGGGGGAGCCTGGCATGGAGTTCTGAGACTTGCTTGCCATGTGGCACCATCCTGCCCCTCTGGGGCAGCCCAGTGGATACCCCGGACCCTTTCCAGCCATCTCTGTCCCTAGTCACCACCTAGTGTCCCAGGGCACTTGTGTCCTCCCTCTGGCTTCCACAGAACTCTGGCAGGAGTTTTTGGAACTGAGTCAGAGGTTCTCATCAGAAGGGCTCCCAGCGGCAGTGGTGATCATGAGGCCACGGGCATCAACGGGGAGCAGGGTATAGACAGGGCTGCAGGCCGAGTCTGTCCATGTTCCCTCCGAGAGATGCCTGCTCTGGTCCGGCCGAGTGGGAGGGGCAGGGTGGCTGGGAAGGAGGGTGGGAGAGGTACAGGCCACGGCCTGCTGCTAGAGGGCTCTGGCTCCGTGGAGATGAGCTCAGATGGCAAGGATAAGACAAAGCACCCCCAGTGCCCAGCCCAGGGGCCCTCAGGGGCAGTGAAGGTGGGTGAGAGGGGCAGGTGGACACTCTTGACTTGTGCTTATTGAGGGGTGTCCAGAGAGCCTTCTTAGCTGAAGCCTAAGGTCTTGAGGTAGGTGGGGTTTCCAGCAGGCCAAGGGGCAGGCCTAGGACAGGAAGCCAAGTGAAGAAGGAGCCAGAGGCTGGAGGTGCAATGCATCTTTGGGGAGCACCCTGTGAGGAGGAGGTGGCCCCAGCAGTGCCTTTGGCTTCACCCTGCCAGCAGCAACTCCTCCCTCCTCAGAGTCTCCCCGACTCCTAGCTCCCACTCCCCTGAGCACCTGCCCCACCTTGGTGACTTTGAGGCTCCTGGGACTGAGATATTGCTCTACCTGTAACAGGGTTGGGGATCCCTTGCCAGGTGCCCTCCTGTCTTTGCCTTCACCGTCCCCTCCAGGAAAGCCTGGACCAGAGTCCAGGGTTCAAGGAGCCCACACCCTGTCTTGGGTAGATGGAACCTCATTCCTATTTCTAACCTTGTCCATCATGCTCTTAAGGTCAAAACCCTCCCCTCCCCCAGCCATTGGCCTAGGGGCTCCTGCTGTGTTGGTAGGACTTCGGTGTCCAGGGTAGATCTCCCCTCTGCTGCGGGGTGGGATCCCAGAATCCTGATGACCCCAGCCTCACCCTGCTCAGTTGCTGGTGTGATGCAGGCTGGAGTCTTGGGGAGCCCTCTATAAAATCTATTTTTATATGGAACTTGGTCACTGGACAAAGGGAGGTGGCCTGAACCCCCATCACTCCTATCTGAGCCCACCCAGGGAGGGAGGGGGCTGGGGAGGTGGATCCTTTGACTAATTCTGGAGACGTTTTTATATTTCTTGGGTTCTAAATGCAGGACAAATAAATACAAACTGTGCTCTGGCGCCTGTTTGAGTGGCGATCATTTTGCCATTGTGTAGCTTGTGGGGAGGGTTCCCACCCCTTCTCCTGGTTTGGGGTTGCATGTGTCAGGTCCCCAGCATGGAGGGGAATCAGACCTTGCTCCTGCCCTGAAAAATGTCACAGTCTAGTGAGGACACTGTTAAGAAACATGATAGGACAGTGTGGTCAGGGGCTCAGGGAACACCCTGGGCGTGTGACGGACAAGCCTTTGCCTCAGTTGGCTCACAGTGCTTCTTTTCTCCCTGGCCCGGGCTGTTCTCAGGCACAGGCTGGGAAGGTACCTCACTCATCCCCATGGTCCAGGCCACCGGGAGCGCTCAGGGGACTGGATGGCGGCAACCAATAGCACCCTGCACCTCCACTCCCACGCAGCTCAGTCAGAACAAATGAGTTCTGCTTCACTGGGAGGGATGGGGGTCACAGTACCAGCTCTTTGATAAGGCTGACTGGAGAGTGTTGCTTCCCATGTTTCTTTGAGTCTAAGATACCACTGGGTGTGAGATGTACCACTAGGAAAGAAAATCACAGCCAGTCACACCCTGTCGTGCCATCTGGGTGGCAGATGCACGCCGATTTCAGACATCACAATGTGTAAAATGCACATCTCCAGTAAGTGAGGTGCAATGTGTCAGGGACAAGGTGTTTCCCACCATTCCCCTCAGAGTCAGGCTGCGCCGGATGGCAGGCCTCCCTCCTGGGGCCCAGCTGCCCACTCAGTCCTGAGCAATGGGAGCAGACCAGGGGGCGCCTTTCCTTTGGGCAGGCAGATCTGCGGGGAATCCAGATCTCAAGCAGGTTCTCCCTTCTATTCCTAATTCCGTTAAACCAGTCCCTTCTCTCAGTGGAGGGAGTGAACGAGTAGTGGGTTGGAGACGCTAGGAGCGCTGCCTTGCTGAAGTCTGCCCTGGAGAGGCTGCAGCCAGGGAACCGAAGACCCTAACATCAACACAGTGCCTGGCACCCAGGAAGCACTCTCAGTATTCACCAGCAGGTGTGAGCTATCAGGGAGATGAACAAGAATAGGAACCGAGAAGGACTTCTCCGGGCAGTGAGCCTGCTGATCTAGCTTGACAAAGCATATGCTCATTCAGTGAACACAGACCAGACACCTACAAGTGGCCGGCAGGTAAGTTAAGACCTTGTCTAATAATGGGGGAGTCAGTTAAGTAAAAATCATGAGAAGTCGGCCAATAAAAACTGAGTCCAGGCACAGTGGGAGTCCAGGAGAGGGTGCTGCCTCCCCTGGTCCCTGGGAAGGAGGGAGAGCCTCCTGGGGAAAACAGGTAGTGAGTTTGCTGCCTTTAACCAGCTTCTGGACTAGCATCTGTTCCTAATGTCACCATCACATTGCTTAGGAACTGAGTAAAACTCCTTGCCATGCAAGGAGTTTTCAAATTTCTTTGGAGACTTTTGCCATTTAAATTGAAGTGCCTGCTGGTGTATTTTTTTAAAATTTCCCCCTTCGAACATTTCCCACTTAGTAAAGTGGGGACCCGGGCAACAGAAAGAAGTCAGAAATTGTTTTGGGTCATGGATGACCTCTTGATGACTTCCAGCATCTTGAGAGCAGATGAGCTATTTTGACCAAAACAAGTCTAAAAGAAAAACTGAAAATGCAAACTGGACTTTTCCCCCATTTCAGACACCTTACATCCCCTCCCAGGTGGACTCCCTTCTGCTCCTTGCACTCCCACTCTGTGCTGGGGATTAAACCCAGGGACTTGCACTTGCTAGGCAAGAGCTCTGCCTCTGAGCTACATCTCTCCAGCCCCTTTAAAATTTTTTTTTTGAGACAAGGTCTCATTAAGTTGCCCTTGAACTTTCAATCCCTGTCTCAGCGTCCTGAAAAGCTGGAATTACAGGTATGTGCCACCAGCCAGGCACTGAGTTGCCTGAGGTTTGCCAGTGTGACCTTTGTAGCTAAGCTGAGGGGTATTCCTGGAGATTGTGTCTCCATTCTGAGGTTCTGGGCCTATCATCATGTAGCAAGTGCTTTTGTGTGCACTGAACATCTATAAATGGATCTGGGCTCTTCCTGGTATCTTAGGGCCAAAAGTATGTCTGTGCTCTACCATGTCTACAACCCAGAAAACATGTGGTACACACTTGTAAGCTAGTGGTTCGAGAGGCTGAAACAGGATTGTGAGTTCAAAGCCAGCCTCAGCAACAGTGAGGTGCTAAGCAACTCAGTGAGACCATTGGGTGTGAGATACACCAGTAGGAAAATGCAAATAAAATAGGGCTGGGGAAGTGGCTCAGTGGTTAAGTGCCCCCAAGTTCAATCCCCAGTACCCCCCCCAAAACAAACAAACAAACAAAAAACATTGACCCTGATGTCAACTAAGGGAAAGAGGATTGCAGAGTGTAGAGATCAGAAGTGCAGGACCCACTTGGTGGTCAGAAGTGATGTCCTTGATGGGATTAGACTGCGGGATGATGGCAAAGAGCTGAGAAAATGTCTTGTCCTGTCCACAGAGATGGCACCTTCGCCAAAGCAAACGGGATTTGACTTCCATTAAGTGGAGACACTCCCACCTAGTGGCCTCCAATTCTGATTGATTCCCCTCACCATCTCTCTTGGCCCTTCATCTGAAGCCACATAAATCATGTATTTTAGAGCTGGGGTTGTGGCTCAGCAGTAGAGCACTCACCTAGCACATGCAAGGTCCTGGGTTCGATCCTTAGCACCACATAAAAAGTAAATAAATAAAATAAAGGTATTGTGTCCCACTACAACTAAAGAAAGTTATCTATTTTAAAAATTTTGAGGGGCTTAGGTGTAGGTCAACAACTACCTAATTATGCAAAATAAGAGGCAGCCCTGTCAGGGTGTGCGAGTGTGACTGAGGTACACTTTGCTTTTCTGAGGTCATGAGGCGGTGGGGGGCACATTGAGGAGGTAAGTTCTGCACTGATGCGTGAGCTCAGTCACTGGTGACTGGTGGACACGGAGCTCTAAGTTCCCTTGAATGAATGGCATTCTAATGCTCTGAAGGAACAATCACTAGGCCATGTCCTTTGGCTCACACAGATGTGCCAGCTCTTCACATGAGTAACTCTTCACAAGGCAATATATCTGCAATTCTTTCAATAGGAAGCCCCAAGTAGGCTTTTAGAAACACCAGGGGCCCTGTCAGGTAAAGAGGAACCTACTCTTGTGTTGGCGCTCAGGGGTCCCCTGAAACTGCCTCAGGGGGCCTGGGGAAGGGGATGCCAGGCTTCCATCTTCCCTTCTATTTAGAGAAGCTCTCTGTCTGCTTTATATCCCTGGCAAAAGGTACAAATTAACTTGCCCAGAGGGATGAAGTAGGTGACATTACTATGAGAAGTAATCTTTTAGGGACTACTTTGAATAGGAAACAGGAAGAGAATTTTCTAAGGGCCAAGGAAAGTTCTACCCACTTCTGACTGTGGGCCTGTGTTGCCAGATCTTACTTTTGGAGGCTAAGATTTTTTAAAATCTCCCAGTTTATGGTACATACATGTAATCCCAGCTACTTGGGAGGCTGAGGCAGGAGGATCACAATTTCAAGGCTAGCCTTAGTAAGACCCAGTCCCAAAGCATAAAGGATAGAGGAGGTAGCTCAGTGTGAAGAGCACCTGGGTTCAATCCCTAGTACCAGGGGAAAACCAGCCTTCCCAGCCAGCCCCTTCTATCAATTTTAGTTAGCTTTTTTGTCACTGTGATCAAAAAACCTGACAATAAGAATTTTAAAGAAGGAAAAGTTTATTTGACATTCATGTTTCTGAGGTTTCAGTCCATAGACGGCCAACTCCATTCTTTGGGGGCCTGAGGTGAGGGAGAACATGATGGCCCGAGTGTGGCAGAGGAAAGCAGCTCAGGACACTGCTACCAGGAGGGGGTAGGTGGGGTGGATGGAGGGACTCCAGGGGATGACAAGCTCCTCCCTCATCAGATAAAATATACCCAAAGGCATGCCCCAATGACCCATCTCCTCCAGCCACAACCTACCTGACCACACCACCACCCAGTTAACCCCTACTAGGAGATCTCTGCACGATAAAAAAAAAACCATCTCATTACCCACTCATTTAACCTCCTTATCCTTTTTTTTTTTGTAGTTGTAGATGGACAGAATACTTTTGTTTATTTTTATGTGGTGCTGAAGATCGAACTCAGTGCCTCAAACATGCTAGGCAAGTGCTCTGCCACTGAGCCACAGCCACAGCCCCTCTCCTCTAAACCTTCTCATGTCTAAACCTCATGTCAAGCACATCACATGAATTGCCCTATCCCAGTCGCAGGCCTTGACTAGGCACCTGTTGCATATCAAGCATTTCCTGCAGTGGGCTCACCTAGTCAGAGGTGTGAATGGAGTGAACCAGATGAGCCTGGCTCTGGGTGCAGCGTGTTGGTCCCAGGTGTTTCCTTCATGTCAGGCCCTTCTCAGCGCTGTGCCAAAGGAGGGCAAGGGAGAAGCCTCAGGTGTGGTTTAGAGGCTAGGTCACCTCCTTGCATGAGTAAGCTTTCTTCCACATGCTGACCAAAGGGCCTCTTCTCCATGAATCCCTGTGCTCAGTGGCCAGCTAAGTTCCATGATGATCATTTCAGTGTAAAGAACTTGAGGAAGGCAGACCTGCTGAAGTCCCAAGGACTTTGGGAAGCGAGAGGCATGATCACAGAGTCACCCACCCTTCAACATCCCAGCCCACAAGCCTTCACTCCACAGGTTTACTACAGACATCCTTGATCTCGTCTTCCCAGATGTAAATGTCTAACTCTTGAAACGAAGGCATTAGGGGGAACCTGCTTGGGGGCTGAGGTTACTGCTGCCCTGGATCTGGGTGTGAGCACCGCTTTAGATACCAGAAATTTTGTCTGTAATAAAGGTTTCTGTGCCTTCTGAATAAAGCAGTTGTCCAGAGATCCCCACTCTTAATAACTTAGCTCCAAAATGGTCCCTTCAGTTCACGTAGCACAACTGGGAATATTGATTAAAAAACAAAACAAAATCAAAATTTATTGAAAGCAGTATCTCGCAGTAGCTCTGATTTGAACAAATCAGCTTGGACATACCATTACTAGGAAAACAATATGTACAAAAAGTCTCATGAAAAGGAGAATAAAGCAACTTGCAACAACCAGCCTGTACAGGACCGAGTTAATAACACAAAAGATGACTAAAGAGCCAGACGCAAGAGAGGGAGCTGCGTGCCTGCAAGCCAGGAGTAATAATCCTAGTTCCCAAAATTCCTGGACCATAGTATGTGGCCCTTTGGGGTTCAGAGGCTCTGCTCAGAGCACAAGGCTGTAACTGCTGACTCCACACAACTAGTCTGTGCCCTCAGCATGAGCTAAACGCATAACAATATCACCAGACAAGGCACCCTGGCCCTCCCAGTGATCCCATTGAGAGAAGTGCTCTCTGTGGAGTCCACAGACTTGGCAGGGACCACTGGACCACAGACAGCATAGGGATGGTTACTCTGCAGCCAGTCACTTAAACTCCTAGACTACTCTAAGCCCTGTAATTCCCTTCTCCAAATCCCCACTAATTAGAGAGGTAGAAATACAAGACATGGAAGCTGCCTCCAAACCAGTTTTTGGTCTTTGATAAGCACAAAACTCTGTTCCACACGTCAGCTTGACAAGGACTATTAGGCACAGCAGGTAAAAGATTCCAAGGCCCCACCCAGTACCCTGCATCAACAGAGGAGGAGATGGTGGGTAACAGGAGGGAGATGTACACATTCTGCTGCCATGGTCACTGCTACAGCCTGTACAGTCTCACTTGTGGGATCGTATGCTGCTGCAGATTTGGGCGAGATGACTCTAAAAAGAGGAGATAGGCCATTTAAAGAAGATAGCACTTCGTAAGCCAGTCTACCCATGCACACGTCTGTGTGAGTCTCAGCCCTTCCATTCTTGACTTGTACCTCACCCTGATTAACTTTTCTGAAACTTTCTTATCAAAACAAAGGGTTAAAATAACACTTGAATGAGACAGTGAAGGTATCAAGTGAGCATCTGGGACCATAATGCTAAAGGAGGATGGTCACGTGGTTTGGGTGGCTGGGTGTGTGTGGGCCTGTGGCAGCCAGGTCTACTCTAAGTGCTCCCACCCATCACCCACTACCACAGATGACACACCACGGAGGAGCCTCAGACCAAAGCAGGGTCAGTTAAAATCTCCTTCTTGAGAACCTAAATGAAAACAGGAACCTGAACAGCTGTGGCCCTGGAGCAACAATTAGAATCAGAGGTGTTAGTACCTAAAGCCACACATGAATCATTGTTAAAGAACAGCAGAACCAAGAGCCTTAGGAGAGGGTCACGTGCCAATAGGGAGGATGAAGATGTGCCAGAGAAAGGAGGCTGGGAACCCAGAGCCAAACAGACACTAGATTGGTGTGCCCATGAAGGGCCACATACTGCCACTGCTGATTTCTGATGGTCCCCAGCACTTTAAATGTTTCTTTGATTCTGTGAGATCCCTTATAACAAGCCTCTTCCCTCCTTGAAGGAAGTTTCAGTTCATGGTGGTCAGTGGACACCCTGGCACTTAATTGCCTGATCCTTGTAATTATTGTGGGACTTCAATGGCAGGCAATCTGGGATTGACCAAACTCAACATTAATCTTGGACCAGAACTGCTGCTATGTAAGCAGGATAACAGTCACAATCCCTTGGGAGAAGGCAACATAATTCTAAATATCAAGTATTCACTCAGACCCAGAGGACAACCCTAAAGAAAGCTAAACCAGGAAAGCTGCCACAGCCTTCCTGGCCAGGAGATGAACATGGAACCCACCGAGAGCTTCTTAATGTCCCCTAAAGCCTCTGGATGCAGCTGTGTGATATCAATCCTCTGCAAGTCACTGGCCAATAACCGCATACTCTGTGTGGAGAGGAGAATGGGTTACATTGACATGTCTTTTAAGGCAGAACTTCCACCCACAGCCCAGTGTGCCTCAGGGGGTCCACTGGATATCCTGCATGTGATGGTGGGGATGGCTGGGAGGGAGAAGTGGCAAGGTAGGCAGGAGGTGGCTCAGGCCTAAGGAGAAGATGACATCAACAGCACTATCACTGGGCCACCAGCTGGATCACTGGGGTCAAAGGCATGCACGCTAGCTTAGCAACCCACACAGACCATCTGAGAAGCCACCCTGCCACTGGGGCTGAGGTCAGCAACTCGCTCTTCATAGTCTAGAGAAACCAGGGCAGCCTGCTTCTGAATCCCGCAGGGTTGCACAGAGTTGAAGGTACAGCTCTCACTGCCCTGTCTAGACTAAGAGCACCCCGTAGTCATAATCCCTTTATCCCTATTGTTGTAGCCTAAGTGTTATAACTGCAAACCCATCTGACTACTGAACTGCTTCTCAAGATCAGGCATCATGTCCTTTGCACCTTTGGCCTGCTTTAATCCAGTGGACAAATGACAGCTGGAACCCTGAGCTGGGCAGGGATCCTCCCAGTCTGGGCCTCTAACATGGGAAACAAAATTGGGTTCTGAGCCCTGCAGAAGCATAGAGATCAGGACCTAGGCCACCAAAGGGCTCTGAAGGACAGAGGTGGTTGATGGCCCAGGGAAGGGAAAGGCTTCACTGAGCAGCACACTGTGGTCTGGCTTCCCAGAGAAATACTTTACCGCTCCGCCGCCCACTGGCACAGTCAGGGAGATCTCTTTGCCATCAGCAAGAGGGCTGCCATTGGCAGAGATGCTGTAAATCTGCTCTCTGGCTATTGGCGTGCGCAGGCCTGGGGCCTTGAAGACCCTACAAAGTGGGAAAATCTCTGTGAAGACGGTTTGGCAGACTAAAAGACATCAAGCACTGTGAGCCCTTCCAACCCCATCTGGTTTTAAGCTGCAGCTTTCAAACCACACATTTCTAGAAGGCAAGTTCTAAATTTAGGGAAAACATTTTTTAAGTAGTAATGACTAAACACAGCTGGAGAAAGGAGGCTGTAATTATCAAACATATATCTAGAAAGAGTCAACGCATACGCATGTAAAGTTTAGGACCAATCCTTTATATGGGTGCCAGTCCTCCACCCACCACGGGACCAGAAATAAACTGGCTAGGTGTTTCCCAGAGTGGCTAAGTCCTTCCATCAAGAGGAACTCTCCAGGGTCAAGGGAGGATGATTCAGAGATTATATCATCACACCAATCCCCACACCAACCTCCTTAAGATAGCTAAAATGCTGCTGTTTCCCCCTAATTAGCTTTTGCTACCTACCCATGTGAAAAAACAATCAAGTGGGAATTAAAAGTGAAAGTAAGTCTTCCTCACTTTTCCCACCCCAGAGTCAATAGCTCCTTACTCCACTCCCCAGAGGTAACTCCTCTGAATTCTGAGTAAACTTTCCAGAAGTATTCTGTGTGCATAAAGCAAATGGGATCCTAAAGTATGCACTGTTGGTAAGCTGCTTGGAGATCTCTGTGATTAGGAAGCTCTTCTTGTGGGGCATGTACACAGCCATTCTTTTCTAAGGGCTACACAGCATTCTTACTTGAGCGACTAACTCTTATGAAAGGTCTCAACTTCTGCTATAAACATTCTCACTTATGTTGCCCTTCAAAAAAGATGGTGTTAATTTTACTTCTACCGCAGGTATAAGAAAGTACCTAGCCAGCTTAAAAAATCTTTTGGCCAGAATCAGAAAAAATCCAGAGTCACATAGATGTTTCCTAGTCACCACGGGCAGAATGTTCTTCTCTCTCATCAGATAAAGAACATTTCTGGCCCTGAACTGGGTGAACCTGCATGCAGGGGAGGGGCAAACACTAGGGAGCCCAGGTGGCTTCTCAGGCCAGGATTCAGGGCATTTCCTAACAGTCCTACTTTGAGTGCTCTCACTGCTGGGCTTCCCCCTGAATCCAAGTGCTGCTCAGCACTCACCTGGAGTCAAACCTGGGCGTCAGGCATGGAGTTGGTTTCACCATAGACAACTCTAATCTGCTTACAGCTGGGGTCACATTGCTGTTGTGGCTTGATCTACAGGGAAGAAACAGCCATAAATGTGTCAACTCTCAGGTGCAATGACAGCTGCAGCTGTAGAGGCAGATGACACATGGAGAGCACTGATCATGCTCTGGATGTCCTGTACCCATTAAGTCATGTGGCCCCGCCAGCTAACGTAGGAAGCAAGCAGTATTTATCATCCTCATTTACAGATGCAGAAACTCAGGCATAGAGGTTTAAAGAGCTTGTCCAAGATCACACAGCCAATTAGGGAGGAGCAACTCTGAAACCCAGCAGAAATCTTGCAGAGTCTGACTTCTCAATCAAGCTGGAGAAGATGACACAAAGCTCACAGCTACCCCCAAAACTAGAATTCTTGTTCTCTTGAAAGACAGATCGTTAATGTCCTGCTACCTCTGCCCAGAGAGAAAGGGGGACTCACAGTCCAAGGCCTACTTTCCTAAGCTGTTTCCTCTTATCTCCAAATAGTGGAGATTCCATATCATCTCATAGAATCTTTATTTGGCAAGACCAGAAGGAACATTTCAAGCAACTAATTGTGGGCAGGTGATGGCCACTCTGTGACTGATTCTGGATACCTCTGCACACAGACTGTCAGGCAACTAAACATAAAATACAGTTCTTACTAAACTCTTTTGAGCTCACTCTGCCTGTTAAAAATAAAACAGTGGGGGAGAATAGAGAAGGTAGGCAGAAGAACTGGCTGAGACTAGAGGCCCTCCAGCATGGCTCCTCAAGGATCCTGTGACTTCACACTCCTAGAACACTAATCACCAAAACCCTTTTTGCCTTCTTCTGCCTGTTGTACAGAGTTCTTTCAGAAAGCCCCAGTCACGTGTCTAACTTTGGAAACCCATTACCTTTTGCTTTTGCCTTTTCCTTGTACGGACTGGGTTCTCTTCTTAGATGGAGGACACCTTTTGACCTATAGTCACAATCAATAAAACTGAGGTTACACAAAGCCCAGCCCAGGGGAAAGTTAAGGAGGGTTAAAAAAGGAGAGGAAAGGGGATCAGTTCTTGGAAGGAAAGTTAATATTGAACATAGGAAGGGTTCAATTCAGGGCTGGGGTGGTGGCTCAGTGGTAGAGCACTTGCCTAGCATGTGTGAGGCACCGGGTTCGATTCTTAGCACCACATATAAATACATAAAAATAAAGTTCTATTAACAACTAAAAAAAGTTAAAAAATTAAAAAAAGAAAAGAAAGTTCAACTCACAGAATTTAGTGACTAAAGCATTCAGAATATAATTAATCAACAGAGGACTTACACTGGCTGGGCCTTCAAAATAGAAAATTTGGGCCAAGATTGAAGCCTGACTTGCTCCAGTACTTTCCATAAAGTGCTACAGTGGTGGTCGCTCTGGGCATCCCACGTGCCCAATCCAAGGAACCCCCTACAGTCCTTACCTTCTGAGTCCTGGGAATATCTGACAAGAGTCACTCATTTCCTGGCAACTCTCCCCTCCTTTCTTCCAAGTCCAACCCAGCCTTCCCGCATCTCTTTCTGTCCCTTGGCGGTCTGCATCAGGAGCCCTTCCTCCCAACTTCCCTCTCATGCTCACCTGCAGTCTCCCTCCTCATGCTTTCCCTGACAGTCTTTTCCACTCTCCCCGTGGGACTAGCATGTAAAGACCGGGAGGCAGTGCATCTCTACTTCCTCCTCCCCCAGAGCTCCAGGTGAAATTCCTATTTGAATTCCCAAGTCCCAGAAAAGTACTCAACACACAACATGTCAAGCAACCAGCACGTCTCCTCTCACTCTAACCCACCGCTGTGCCTCCAGGGTCCCGTGTTCACTGGATGGCAATTGCCTAAGCTAGAAAGTATTTGGTCATCTCTGATTCCTTCTTCCACCAATCATGCTAGTTCTCCTTTATAAAACTTATCTTAAAATCATGACTGTTTTTAGTCACTGCCTTAGTTCAACCTAACAGCTTTCCTTATTTTCTCCTCTTCCATTTATCCTGAATACTACTGTAAAATATGGATCTGATGTCACTTACCATCACCTGTCTGACAGAATAGAAAATTCCAAGCTTGGCACACAAGGCCATCCGTTATTTGGTCCCTGCTCTCCTCCTGTCCTATACCAGCCATACCAAATTGCTTCCTAGGAGCTCCTTAGCTAGACCCTTTCCTAGCTCTTCCAGGAATTTTCTCCCCTTTCTTCTCACTGACCTTGAAGAGACTGGCTATGTCCTCCTTGGGTAGGGAAGGCTTACTAGCTTCCTCTTCTGAGGTCTACATACTTCAAATGCATGTCAATGATCTCTTTTGTTATTTACCACTTACGTGGGATGCTCTCAATCAAATGTGAGCTCTAGGAGGGCAACACTGCATCCCGTGTGTGTGTGTGTGTGTGTGTGTGTGTGAGTGTTTAGTTGTAGATGGTCACAATGTCTTTATTTTTATTTATTTATTTTTATGTGGTGCTGAGGATGAAACCCAGGGCCTCATGTGTGCAAGGCAAGTACTCTACCACTGAGCTACAGCCTCAGCCCACATCCCATGTATTTTTGTATTTGCTTATCTCTTGCCAGCCCTCAGCCCTTATCCTGAATTCCTACTTACTCTTGAAGTTTGAAGATTCTTATGTTTATTTTCCTCCTCCTCTTCTTCTTCCATTATCATTTCATCCACTTGTAATACCTTTCGTGCTTAAAGAGACAGCATTAACAGTGTGTTATTTCTGATGGGAAGAAATTTCATGCATTCACATTTCTCATAAGGAATGACATTTAACATAACCTAAGGCTACAATCATGAAATAGACTCAACATAAAGAATACCACTTTTTTCTTTTTGGCAGTGTTGAAGATTGAACCCACGGCCTCATGGCCTCTAGGCAAACGCTCCACCATTGAGGTATAATCCCATCCTAGAAGATCACTTGAAAAAAGTGGGGGGCATTTAAACAAAGGAACTTAATCAGAGTAGATAAGAAACCCCATACAGTGATTCTACAGGGATAGCCTAGCCCTCCTACCAAGACAGACTTGAGCTTCAAATGTGGTACTACCACTTACCAGGTCAAATGGCTTTAATTAAGGTGTTCAGTTCCCTCACATTTATCAGAGAGCTGTTACTATAGCGATATTATGAGGTTTGGAATGTATGCTCCATAAGAACACATTTGTTATTTTCATTCTTACCTCCAAGTCTTAGAATTATGTCTCTAAGTGTTTAGTAAGTATTTGAGGAATTAATGAATGTAAAATCTATTGGACCATACCAGACACTGTTATAACAAGTGTTATTTATTGTATTATTGTTATTTATAAAAATAAAATTTTTATTATAATTGTCATCAAAAGAGGAAAAGGAGCATTAGGGATATTTAAGAAGAATGATTCCAAAGGATAAATGCCAATTTTTAATATTTAAGGGGGTTGTCATATTGAAAATAGTTTTATGGGGCTCCAAAGAGCAGAACTAGTATTGATACATAGATACCATAAGAAAACTTTGGCAAGCACTCTACCAATTGAGCTACATCCCCAGCCTGAGATATATTTTAATAGCTTACAATGTACTTGAAGTTCAGTAGTCAAAAGGGTAAAAAAAAAAAAAATCAATTTTAATGATTGGTTGACATTGGTCCTGGTATATTCAGTTGTACAAAGTGAAATCAGAAGACCTCTGCCTCCCATCCACCACCATCACTATGTAAGCAAAACTGATAATATGTAATCTAAAAACACTGAAGTTCAATTCTATCATAACTTGAGAGGCAGGACTGGAAAATGGGACAAAGAAAGTAAAAACCTCATCATTCAGCAAGACAATTCTGATGGAAGGCCAGTCATAACTACGAGAAGACAGTGTTTCTGGCCCTGGTTAGAGGAGCAGGTACCTAGAGTGTAGCCCCACATCCAGGCTATGGGGCAGATCTGCCCTCACAAGAGCTGGATGCATTCAGCTACCATAGCTTCATGATAGTGACATTCAACCCAAGTTTCAATTCATCCTGACCATATTCCAAGCTCAAAAGTTCCAACCTGGCTTCCCATATAGCTTTCCTATGAGACAGTGTTTCTCTGGTGTAGGACATGGATGTGAGATGATTTTACATGGCCAGATCACTGAATTGGGGAATGTGAAATTACACTGAGAAAGTTTCCTTCTACGATTCTCTTTTGACCCTGCAGATCACATCAGAGTCTCAGTTGGCATTGCCTGTCTTGGAACATCTCCCTGAATCCTGCCAGCCTCTCTGTGTTACTCAGGGGAAAGCAAGCAGGCAACAATGTTTGGTTTCTGCACAGCTGTTTTTCCCCCCATCTCCTTTCACTTTTGCTCACACGACAGCCTTGTGAGTTTGGTTAGTATTATACATACATACAATTAATTAACTAAATGTAGTAGCTAAAATAAAATTTTTGGATTTACAGGATTGGGAACTAGACATTAGAGGGAAGAGAGCCACCAAAAGGCCCTGCCTCTCGAGAGGCTCACTAAGCTCCTCGGACCTCAGCTCTCTGTCCAACAAGGGTTTTCAAAAGTACTCACTTTTGGAAGATTTCAGGGGAGTCTGGATAGCTTCTGCAGTTAGTTTGTTTATTTCTGTGATATCCACATCAGCCTGTGACAAACACAGACAGAAAGTACCAGGCTTAGTCCATCAAATATGAGAAATACTTGCACACGTGAGGCCCTGGTACATGAAAAGTGACTGCTAAATATTAGTTACGATACAATACAGCAAACCTCCATAAACCTACACATACCACAAGACCTAAAATATTGCCAATAACTTGTTTCTAAGTATGCATTCCTTCCCTGTTCCATTTTTGTCTCTCTCCCTCCCAATGACAGGCTTTTAATCCTGTCATTCTTCAGAGGTAACCACTGTTTGCATAAGACAGTAAATGTATAACTGAATGTGTGTGATTCTATCACCATGGGTTTGTCCATTTTCCCATCAATAGTGCTACTTTGAACTGTCTCACCTACATGTGTGATGCACTTGACGTCCAAGTTTTCTCTTGGCCACATACTTAGGAAGGATAGAGTACTACAGGGTTATATGTTACATAAATGTCAGCCTTACTATTATGCCAAATTTTTTCCCAAAGTTTACATCTCATTTGTAAACACAAGTCCCTAATGAATCACATCCTTTACAACACTTGATACTATCAGACTTTTTTGGGGGGAAGTCTACAGGGTCTCAAAAGGGTTTTCTTTTTCTTTTCGTGAGATTGGGTCTTACCATGTTACTCAGGCTGGTCTTAGACTCTTAGGCTCAAGTGATTCTCCCATCTGAGCCTCTCAAGTAGCTGGGACTGCCATCACACCCAGCTCTCAGTAAGGTTTTCTGATGCTCCTTCAAAAAGGCTTCCTTGCTTTCTAATTAGGTTTATGGTGGTGACTACCCATATGTATGATTACAGGCAAGAACAGATATGATTTGTAGTCTTCTCCTCATGGGGCACATATAAATACTAAAATGGTTATTATAGACTAGGAATCACACAGATATCACATCTGGATTTGTAGAGACTACATGGAGTACTCAGAGAAGAATTCTGAGGCTGTCAGGGCTTAGAAGACAGTACTGGGATAGATTAGTGGGGTCTATCATGCTTCATGGAACAGAAATGGCATTCCTGAAAACTTTCTACAGTCTCTAGCAATAACTAGCACGATGTGACTCCCATCATTCTTTGATAAGAATAGTTCACCATGCCTAAATTTTATGCAAACATTGTGGTCTATACCAAACACCTGCTTCTTTCTTCTTTCTTTTTCTGCCCAAGAAGCCAGCACCCAATTAAAATCCTGGGCATTGAGTCTCTAAAGAGTTTTTCTGGAGATAACAGGGATTCTCTCATATTACACCAGAAGTTCTTATTTCAGCTCTATATGTCTGATTAATTCAAAAAGAAGATGCATTAATTAATGATTCTATTTCATCTCAGAATGTTTTGAAATATTAGATCCAGGTCTGTGACGGGGGCATCAATAAAATGGATCACAGACACATAAGAAAAAGAAGGCTTGGGTCAAGAATGTTTTACTAGCTCAATTTTATTTCAGTTATTCCCATCCTTCTCTTACAATAGTCATCTCCTAAATCTTAAATTTTTTCCTAATTGAACAACTAGTTCCTGCCTATCTTTAGCTTCTTGAGCTGGTAGGGATCTGTTATTCAAAGAAAATATGTACCCTTTGAAGTCATACCCCTTCAAACCTCAGATTCCAAATGATTCTCATTGAAGAATGCAGAATTTTGTGTTCACTTTAAAAATGTGTTAAAAGCTACAATAAACTCTCTCTCAACAGGAAGACACACAAGTGGATATGCACATATTTTGTTTGTTTGTTTTTGGTGGTACTGGGGATTAAAACTAGGGCCTTAAACATGCTAGGCAATTACTCCATCCCTGAGCTACATCCCCAGACTTTTCAAATTTTTATTTTGAGCAGGATGTAGTGCCACAAGCCTATAATCCTAGCAATTTGGTAAGCTGAGACAGGAGGATGGCAAGATCAAGGCCAGCCTCTGCAATTTAGTGGGAACCTGTTTCAAAATAAAAAATAAAAAGGGTTGGGGACATAGCTTAATGTTAGAGTGCCTCTGGGTTTTGATCCCCAGTACCAAAAGATAAAATCAAATAGAGTTGTAGTTTATCTCCTAGCTATTCAGGTCATGGTTTAAAGGCACTTGAGCTTGAGGCTTTCCACTTCTCCTAAAGAGTTCAGGAAAAGGACCACTAGGGGCCTGTCAAAAATGGAACTGTCTGCCTCTGAGGATTAAGAATGACAAAACTCCACTTCTCCCCACTATATTCTTAAGAACATTTCCATGGCCAAATATGTGTGGATTTTTCCCGACACCATACTATATCCTATATTCAGAAATCCTATAGTGGACACCATTGATTCGATTTTGATCATCAGTATCTGAGAATAGCATCAGATCCTACAAGACTATTCCCTACTTCCCATGCTAACTGCCAGCCCCAGGTTGTTTTACCTGTGTTTCTGACCAACTGATTATAAAGAGGAGTCACGGGCTGGGGTTGTGGCTCAGCAGTAGAGCACTCGCCTAGCACAGGTGAGGCCCTGGGTTCGATCCCCAACACCACATAAAAATAAATAAATAAAAAAGGAGTCCCTTGCCCCCCCCATCCCCACCCTTGGGTTTGACTAATTTGCTAGAGCTGCTCTCTGAACTTGGAACCGCTTTATTTATGGCCTTCTGATGACCATTACCTGAGAGACTTTACTTGTATAATAAGATAACTTCTGTTCTCATTGGGATCCCCTCCTCTACCTCCCATAGCTTGCAGTAGCCTCTTTTGCTCCAGGAGCCTCAAGCTTTTTTATCTGACTCTTTCTTTGAATTTTATCCTTTGTGTATGGCTCCTATGTTTATGTATGTTGATCAATTGTATGCCTTTGTTCCATTGCTAATCTATTACCAGTTTATTTTATATACCAACATTATGGAACCTTCAGAAGAAAAATAATATTTAAAACCTCCTTAGGGCTGGGTTGTAGCTCAGTGGTAGAGTGCTTGCCCAGCATGTGAGGCCCTGAGTTTGATCCTTAGCACCACATAAAAATAAATAAATAAAATAAAGGTATTGTGTCCATCTACAACTAAAAAATATATATACTTAAACAACAACAACAAAAAAAAACCCAGAAAAATCCCTACAAGGTGCCTAAGGCAAGAGGAAGTGGCACATAACTTCCATGTTCCTTCTGGTTTGCTACCCTCCAGGAATCTCCATGTATTCAACTATTAGGAAGCCCATGAACCTGTCCTTTTAAGGGTATTTATGAAGGCTTCACTACATAGGCATGATTGATTGATTTATCATTGGCCTTTGGTGATCAACTTAACCTTCTTCCCTCCCTGGAAGAGAGGTTTTGAGTTCCAACTCTCAGAGCACAGGGTTTGTTTCCCTGGAAACAGCACCTCATCCAGTGGTTACCCAGGGACTTTCAAAAAAAAAAAAAAAAATCACCTCATTAACATCAAGGTTGAAAGGGGTTTGTTATAAATAGCAAAAGACTGTCTTTCACCTTTATCACTCTAGAATTACTCAGGTCAAAAGGCCAAAAAGATGTTCTTACTGTTGTAGTTGCTTAAGAAATTATAAGGGGTATAAAAGCTGTGAGTTAGAAACCTTGGACAAAACCCCTAAAATATATAGTAGTCCCTTGGTATCCTCAGGGGATTGGATCCAGAACCCCCCTGAGGATACCAAAATTCATAAAGGTTCAAGTCTTTCATATACAATGATGTGGTATTTGCATACAACCTATGCATGTCCTATTATATGTTTTAAATTCCATCAAGATAAAAATAACTATTATACTGTATTTTTTTTTTTTTTGAGAGAGAGAGATAGAATTTTAATATTTATTTTTTAGTTATCGGCAGACACAACATCTTTGTTTGTATGTGGTGCTGAGGATCGAACCCCGGGCCGCACGCATGCCAGGCGAGCGCGCCTCTGCTTGAGCCATATCCCCAGCCCCTATTATACTGTATTGTTTAGGGGACAATGACAAAGTCTGTACATGTTTAGTATGGATTTTAAAAAAAATATTTTTGATCCATGGTTGGCTGAACCTTCAAATAAGGAACTCACAGAAGGGCGTGAGGAAGACTGTATCATAACATCAGAGTCCTTTTTGGGATTCAGATCTATTCGGGCTATTCAGATCTATTCAATGTTTGACACAACCATAACTTTTTAGTTGGCAGAGATAATGCTCCCTTATGGAACCTCTCTTACAGTGTAAAACCCATTAGTTGGATATCTTTTTTTGGGTATGGGGGATTGAACCCAGGGTGTTTAACCACTGAGTCACATCCCCATCCCTATTCTTTTCTTTTAAATACTTTTTCAGTTGTAGTTGGTATGATATCTTTATTTATTTTTATTTGGTGCTAACAATCAAACCCAGCACCTCACGTGTACAAGGCAAGTGCTTTACCACTGCGCTACAGCCCCAGCCCCGCAATCCCTTTGTTAATATTTTATTTAGAGATAGGGTCTTGTTAAGTTGCTAGGGCTGGCTTTGAACTCACAATCCTCCTGCCTCAGCCTCCCAAGCCCCTGGGATTATAGGTGTGCGCCACCATACCAGCCCATTGGTTGAAATTTGTGAGTGAATTATACTTAAAAACTAACCAGCTCAAAAGTAAAATAAGTCACTTACTGTTGCTGCCTCTTCCAGGGCCTGTTTGTTTCCTCCAAGGGCTTTAAAAAGAATATCACATTTAGTTACTATCAGATTTCAATGATAAATCATCTTCCAGCATTGAAAGACTCTCACAATCTAGTCCAATCTTTCTCTAAGCTAGATTCCTTCTTTTTTGACTTATTCTTATTCCACCTCATCAAAATTTTTGTTATTTCTCAAATGTGCCACCATCTCTTATGACTTAGAGTCCTAGTATTAAGCATTTCCTCTGCTCCCAACAAATTTCTAATTTATCCTTTAAAACTCAGCTCAAATGTCACCCCAAAATTCTGCTTATGTTTCTATCATACTAGATTGCTGTGAACTGTAAAACTTACATAGTAAATTGCTGAGTTGTTTCCCTTTATCATACCCAACAGCTACTCAAAACAAAAACTGTTTAAGTGTCCACTCCTGTCTTGGACTGAATTCCATAAATAAGACTACTGTTTCTGGCAAAAATTTGGCATAGTAAATATGCATCGAATAGAAAGGTCTTTGTTAGATTTAGATGTGGAATAAACTTAGGTTACATCCTACTCTTAGAGACTGTCTTGGTATCCTGTATAACAGTAAGATCTTACTGGTTATGGTAGTGCACACCTGTAATCCCAGCAGCTCAGGAGGCTGAGGCAGGAGGATGGTGAGTTCAAAGCCAACCTCAGCAACTTAGTGAGACCCTGTCTCTAAATAGAATATAAAAAAGGGGCTGGGGTTGTGACTCAGTGATTAAGCACCCCTGGGTTCAATCCCCAGTTCCAAAAAAAATAACAAAATTAACAACTCAAGTTTTGGAAACAGAATGCTGGGGTTCAAATTGATTCTGCCACTAACTAGCTTGAAACCTTAAGCAAAGTAACCTTTCTTCATGCCTTAATCTTATAATTTCTAAAACAGGCATGATATTAATAATTACTTAGCTTGTTATGAAGTTAAAATTAGTTCAATTATGTAATCCATTTTGGTACAATGTCTATCTGGAGTACAAAACACTAAATACACTAGCCACTACTCTAGTCTCTTTTGTAGTACTTATAATTCTAATGACATACCTGTAATTTTGTTTTAATTAATTAATTTATTTTTTTTTGCAGTGCTGGAATTGAATCTAGGCCTTCATCCATGCTAGGCAAGTTCTCACCACTGAGCTATATCCCCAGGCCCTGAATTTTTAAAAAGACCTTTGTCCACTAGCTCATATGCTCTCAAGGGCAGGAACAATGTCAGTTTTATTCTCCAATGCATCTTCAGCATCCATCATTGTGACTGAGGTGTGCTCAACTTTTGTATAAATGAGTGAATTCATGAAATAATAAATAAAAAGGCAAACTGAAAGACTTGCTAAATCCTATGTGAGCAGGACAAGCATTTCTATCCAGGAAAAAGGCTACATACTATAATTATTAATAAAACGGAAAACAGAAAAAGGATAACCCAGCAGAGGAAGGTCTCTGCTTTTCCCTGGACATTTAGTGAGGGAGTGGGAAAATCGGCTGAAATTTTTCTCTGGTCAGGAAAATTCTCCCGTCCTTGCAGTTCACAAACAATTTGCCCATTTTTAATCAAGACAGGAGTGAACACTTAAATCAATTTGCAATTTTCATGAGCTGCAGAAAGAGCTACTTCCACCTGAGTGCTGATAACAAACCAAGTCATTAATTCATTCATTTTTAAATTGTTGGATAATGTACATACACACACACACGTGCATGCACACCCGGAGGAATATCTCCTAGAGTGTGAAAATTATGTGAAATTCATGTTAGTTTGTCCATAAAGTTTTATTGGAATACAGCCCATTTGTGCCCATTCATTATAGTTGTTTCGAAACTACAAAAGCAGAGCTGAGTACCTGGATCAAGAACACTCTGGCTCAAGAAACCTTAAATATTTGCCTCCTAGTCCTTTAGGTTTGAATTGGTATGCCTGTTCGGGGTGTGGGGGTGTGACCACGGTAAGTGCTATTGAGAATGAAGCAGGCAGGTGAGACAGAATGCGACCAAGCAGCAGGGTTGCAGTTTTCCATAAGTAGCCATGTTGGACCTCATGAAGAAGGGAACATTTTAGAGAACCTTTTCTGAAGGGTGTCACGATGCCGCAGCCATAATTTGTCTCTTACCGAAGTAGTCAAGCCAGTTCATCTCGCGCACAGCCTTGGGGAGCCGTAGGATCTCGATGTTGTACAGGTTATCCACCTCCTTGAGAAGGTTCTGCCTGTCTGACTCAATTTGCTTGATTCGTACTTGCACTGCGAGAGGCAGAAGCCGAAAGGACACGCGTCACCAAGCGGGAGAGTCCGTGCCGCGGGCGCCCCAACCCGCCGGTGCCCTGCGACCGCCTCAGGTAGCAGCAGCGACGGCGGGAATCCACCCCTTACCTTCACGGTCGAAGTCCTTAAGAAAGGAGGCGAGCTTTTGGCTCCGCAACGAGTTGGTCTTGTTCGTCCGACTACCACGCTTCCTGGGAGCCATGGCGCTTTGGTGGAGGCTGCGGGGAGAGGGGGACCGAGCCTCAAGGGGTCAGCGGCAGAGACAGGGGAAGGAAAGTAAGGGGTGGAGACGACGGCTGGGAATCGTCCTTCGGGGTCTAGGCCTAAAGAGATCCCGAGACACGTACCTACGGGTCAGGAAGCTAGGGCCGAGAAGTACAGCCCGCTGCTCCAGCTGAGAGGGAGAGGCTCTCTAGCTAACCGCCACCCAATTCAAACTCAACTGCCTGCGGCTGACGAATGAGAAGTGGCCCTTTTAAGGATGGTCTCAGAACACCCAACCACAAGGAAGCTCCTCCATCAGACAGCCAATCCACAGGCAGGACTTCATTGCCCAGAAGTCATTGCGGCTTTACGGCATCTTTTCACGACTCCGTTGTCATCGGGGGCGGTCACTTCTGAGCGTGTGCAGAAAGTGCGAGCCCTGGCGCTTTCCGGGTGGGTTCTCACGCTTCAATATCTGGCGGGGTTAGGGAACGCGAAAGGCAGTTTCCAAGAGAAGAGACAAGATTCCGGCTCCAGGAGCACAAGTCTCGAGGGGAGACAGGTCTTGGGCTCCGGGAATCCTCAGTCTGAAGCAGGAGACTGCCCTATTCCGAGGAGTAACTAGGACACCCGCCTGAGCGGGGGAAGCAAGGGTCCTTCACGGAGCAGCTTCCGAAGGCGAGAGGACGCCTCGGCCAGGAGCTCCTGTGCGGAGGGACTCGGAGGCCGAGAGCCGGGCCGACCGCGGGGCAGGAAGTGGCTCCCACCCGGGACCCAGCACCTCGTCTCCTGACTTGGCGCCCTGACCCCCTCTTTTTTTTTTTTTTTTCCTTTTGTTTGTTTTCCCAACAGAAGAAGATGGCTCAAGACCGGCCTTTACTTGCTGTGCAGGAGGCCCTGAAGAAGTGCTTCCCGGTGGTGGAGGAGCAGCAGGGCCTGTGGGAGAGCACCCTGCGGGACTGCTCGCCGCTCCTGGCCTCCCTCAGCAACCTGGCAGAGCAGTTGCAGGCCGCGCAAAGCGTGCGGTTCCAAGATGTGCCGGCGCTCCGGGCCTTCCCGGACTTACAGGAGCGGCTGAGGCGCAAGCAGCTGGCGGCTGGGGACGTGGTCCTGGACAAGCTAGGGGAGAGGCTGTAAGGATTTCCTCGGTGCCGTTTAGAAGGATCTTTAAACTGGGCGCTTTCAAGTAGCTTGGGTGGATCAGAAGAGTGTTTTTACTCGGGAGCATGGCATTTGAAGGTGTTTCGGCCCTACCTTCTGTTGCGAAGGGACCACTGTCAAAAAGCCACTTTCTGGCATTTCCCTTGTCAGAAGCCAGGCATGTAGAAGATACAAAAGCACAAAGGAAAAGGAGTGGAGAAGGCTTATTAGCCCTTCTCTATAGTTGTCTTTGGTAAAGGCAACAAGGAACTGGGCTTTAAGCTTAGCAGGTGCCAGAACTGAAGGTTTTACCTACATTACCCATAAAGTCCTTTAATACCTCTGCGACTTAACCTCACTTCATTCCAGTTTTTGCAAGTGAGGAAATGGACTCAAGCAGGTTGCCCTTGGGCACACATCTAGTAAATAGTTGACTGGATTCCAACCCCCATCTTATGAAATACCGTAGCCAGAGCTTTTTGTTTGTTTTTTAAGTCCATCTTAAGATAAATATATATTTAAAATATTTATTTTTTAATTGTAGTTGGACACAATACCTTTATCTTATTTTATTTGTATATGGTGCTGAGTATGGAACCCATGGCCTCGTATCTGCTAGGTGAGCTCTTGACTGCTGAGCCACAACCCCAGTGCCTATGTTATTTATTTATTTTTTGTGGTGCTTTGGATTGAACCCAGTGCCTCACACATGCTAGGCAAGCACTCTGCCCCTGAACTATGGCCTCAGCCCTTTAAGTCCATTTTTTTATACCTTTATTTATTTATTTATTTTTTATGTGGTGCTGAGGATTGAAACCAGTGCCTCACACATGCTAGGCAAGCACTCTACCACTGAGCGACAACCCAGCCCCAGAGCTCTTAACTATTATTTGTTTTGCTGTGCATTGGTGTCTCTGTGCCCAGGAGTAGCATGTCTAAAAGCTCTGGTTTTTGCCTTTTAACTGTTTTGTCTCTCAGTAACCAAAAGGTTATTGATTGAGAAGAGATAGGAGACAGGGCATATGAGAGCCTGCCTTCCTAGAGGCACTTGTTTTCCTTTAGATCAGTGGCTTTTAGAGTTTGACCATGACCTATAGGGTGAAATACGTTTTGTATCATGGTCCACATAAACACATGCATACATATAAACTGAAATATTCCACAAAACAATGCTATGAGTATTACACTCTGATATTTTGTCTTCTGTTCTACAAGTCACAGACTATAAGTAAGCAGATCTCACAGTATGAAAAACAGCTTTTGAGAGAATAAATATTGTTTTGAGAACTTTTTACTTCAATTGATTACATATTTGTGTGTGGGTGTTGGGTTGTTATTCTGTTTTTTCATTGTGAGTCATGGTCAAACATTTTTTTTCATTTTTAAATTTTTATTATATATGACAGCAGAATGCATTACAATTCATAGTACACATAGAGCACAATTTTTCATATTTCTGGTTGTTCATAAAGGGTCAAATATTTTTGAAAGACACAGTACTAGGCTGGGAAATGCCTTCTACTTTTGGAAGTTGTAGCCTTTATCTTGATGGCTGGATCCTTTGGGGTCACTGATGAAATAATATTTACCATAACCTAGGCACTGCTCTAAGCACTTTATATGCATTATTGTGTTTAGTTTTTAAAATAATTTTATTCACTCATTGATTTGTTGAATAAGTGTTTGCTCTGTGTGCTAGTCTAGTTCTGTATCGTGAGCAAAACAAGCTGTTTTTATGCATGGGGGAGAATAAATAACTTTCCACAGTAGTCTGTGCATCCTGAGCCCACACTTGACTGTTCAAGAATTTTCTAGAAAGGGTTAGGGAGCATGTAGATGGGAATGGTTTGTTGCTTCAGTACCCTCTTTATTCCCTTTTCTTGTACATGGCTTGAGTCTGTGAGTAAGCATTTGCTCTCCTTAGGTTATTTATTTTGTGGAGGGGGGCAGTGCTGGGGATCAAACCTAGGGCCTTACACATGCTAAGTAAGCATTCTGCCTCTGAGCTTAACCCTCAGTCTATCCTTAACCCCAGAAATGTCCCTTAGTCTTTACTTTCTTTGGTAACCAGGCTTATCCCACAGCTTTGAGAGCAATATAACTTCTTCAGCTCCCCATTATAAAGTTATTTCTTAATTCTTGATCTACCTGTACCTCCAAAGCAATATCACCAATCTCCTTAGCTCATGTTCTCATTTGGGGGTAGTTTTTCTGTGAGGGGATATTTGGCAATGTCTAGAGACATTATTATCATGGTGGAGATGGTGAGAGTGTGGTTTATTTTTGTCCTCTGGTGGGTAGAGGCCAGGTGTACTGTTAAACATCCTGCATGTGTGAGGTGGCCCTCCACAAAACAGAATCACCCAATTCAAAATGTCAGAGTGCCAGGATTGAGAAGGCTTGCTGCGTACATGTCTCATATTGCCTAATGCAGAGACTCTTCCACAGAGCCACCCTCCTCAAGGTGCGTGACACGGTCAGCAGCCATGTGGAGCAAGTGTTTCGGATCTATGAGCAACATGCAGACGTGATCGGCCTTGTTGCTGTTCTGCAGCCCTCGGCTGAGAGCCCTTCTGTGGCTGACATGTTGGAATGGTTGCAAGATATTGAGAGACATTATCGAAGTTCATATCCTTTGCATACATTCCAGATAAGTGTTCAGAGATATTCCAAAGTCTCTTTAATTTTCTAATCACAAGTTTGGATTCACTCTCTTTGGTTCTTGAACATGGATTCCTCTTTGATTATTCTTTATTATGATTTCTCAAGTAATTTGTAACTAGCTACTATCTGCCAGTCACTTCTGTAGGTACTAGGAGACAGACATTAAAAAAGGAAAATATAAGGAGCATTTCAGATGATGATGAGTGCTGTGGAGCATAAAGCAGGGAATGTGAAGTATGATGGTGGGTTGTGGTTTTAAATAGAGTGGTCAGAGCAGGCATCATGAGAAACGGACATTTGAGCAAAGATCAGAAGAGGGCAAGGGAGGAAGCTGTGTAGATATTTGGGGGAAGAGTATTCCAGGCAGAGGGAACATCAAATGCAAAAGCCTGAGGTGAGAGTGTGCCTGGTATGTTTAGGAAGTAGCCAGGAGGCCAGTGTGGCTAGAGCAGGGTATGAGGGGAGTCTGCTGGGAGGTGAGGTGATTGAGGAGGTGGCTGGACTTCTTAGGGCCGTGAATGTCTTTGAAAGAATTTTGGCTTTTACTTTGAGTGAAACAGAGAGCTATTAGGTTTTCAATAGAAAAGTAACAAGAAAAGATATATGTTTTTAATGTAACCATGCTGACTGTTCCGAGGAAAGAGTTGGGGTGGTGGTGGGCAAGGGTGGAAGGAGAAGACTAGTTAGTTGAAGTTCTGGCTGTTTTGTCTCCATTCTCACCTGATACCTACATCCACCCTCTGGCTTAAGTTTCTGCTTTCATTGTTGTTGCTAGTCTTGAGCCTCAGTTTTCTGTAGATGCCTCCAGCTGGATTGCTTAAGAAAATAAAAAGTCAAGCTCAAAGTTGAACTCTTCAATCTAGCCCTCAAATTCAACCCCCTTTCTTTTATTTGTAGGCTCAATGCTGTCCATTCACCTGCTCTGGAAGTGTTAGGATAGTCTTCTATCTTTTCCTCTGTTTTCTCTTTCAGTTGCAGCAGTAGTAGTGATGGTGCTAACAGTTTTAGTAATGATGCCAACAGCAGCAGGAGCAGACTTTACTGAGTACTTAGCATGTGCTAAACTCTTTACACAGGCACTTATCAGGCACTTCAATTCTGTTTCCCTGGTGCTTCTTTTACAGTCAGGTGGCACATAACAAATTTTGGTCAGCAGTGGTATCACATACCACAGAGGTCCCATAGGATTGTATCACGTGGTGACGTCAGAACTGTCTTAGTTCGTGTAAGTGCACTCCAGGATGTTTGCACAGGACGACATTACTTACAATGCCTTTCTCAGAACATATCCCCATCAGTAAGTGATGTGTGACTCTTTTTCTCTCTATTCCCTCTGCCACTTCCACAGTTTCTCTTTTGGATTCTTAATCACATGTAGCCTTTGGCAGCCTTCTCTGCTCTGACTTTTGCTCCTCTAAGCTGTCTCTCACTTCCTTGTATCTTTAGGAAGTCTAGTTCTCATCAGGTTGCTCATACAATATGTGTCAGTAGCTTCTGCTGCTAGTAGGATAAAGTTCAGAATGCCTACCTTGTTCCTCGGTGTCTGTGTGTTCTGGCTCAACCCACCTTTCCTGCTATGTGCCCTTCATCTGCCAGGCATGCTGGAAAGTTCACAGTTCCCTGAAGGCACTCCACACTTCTTCACTCCGTACCTTTGCTTATGTGTTTCCTACCAGCTAAAATGTTCCTGTGGTCCTCTAAAGTGGATGTATTTCCCCTTCAAACTTCTGCTGCGTTTGTCTTTTATGTCACTTTGCTTGTTTTTAGTTTCTGCTTTTGTCCTTACAAAAGATAGTCTAGGTTTCAGGGACAGTGTTTGATTCTTGTTTTCTGGTGTCTCAAGCCATATTATTAGAGTTGATTAGAAAATATTGTGGCACAGTCTAATCCCACTCCTCCCCCCCAGAGAAATGTAACAATGGCTCTACATTGACTTTATAGTTCCCAAAGCTTTCATGAGGTACCTTTCCCCCACTTCAGCATTATTCCTTTTCTTTTTGAGCAGTCCTTAACTTCCAGGAAAGTATCTGAAGAGAAAGTATCTCTTTTCCTCCATCCAGTGGGGAGACTTGGCAGGTATCCAAGCATTGCCCAAGGCCTGGGACCAAATTTCAGCAGATGAACACCAAGATCTTGTACAAGGTACTATTTTTTTAATTCCCTCTTATTTCCTCTCCTCCTTCCCTGTGCCTCTTTGGAGACATTAGAGAGATGCCCTTGTTGTGCTCTATATCTTTATAAATCTGGTGTTTATGTTCTCTGGAGAGGTGATATGCCAGTTTTCCCTCTTCCTATTCCAGATATCCTACTGAATGTTTCCTTCTTCCTGGAAGAATAAGGAAACTTCACGTTTATGTGAAGACCAGAAGCACCACAGTTGAAGACTGACATTGCTGCACTGTGATATTTCTAAAGAAACATCAGCATAACAACCTGACATGTTTGAAATATCAATGCCTAAAACCCAAGGACTGGGTCGTGAGAGGATTGATGGTAAATGTCTCTGGGGCTTCTCCATGCCAGACCGTGCCAAGGGTTCCTGGGCCATTGCTTGCCCTTCCTGAGGTTCAGGGCAATGGAGGAGATAGAGAGAAAGCAGGAAAGGCAGTACTGATAAACCTGTCTGTATCATAAGGACCAAGCAGCAGGGAGGGAAAGGACAGGAGATAAAGGGCAGAAGTCACCTGTGGCATTATCTGAAGCACCAAGTCTGACTGATATCGGATCCTGGCTTTGTGTCTGTACTTGACACCTTGAAAAACGAAAAAGAGGTTTTGATGATTTAAAGGAGTAAGGATATGGCTGGGGGGTATGGTTCAGTAGTAGAGCTTGTGTTTGGCATGTTTGAACCCCTGACTTCAATCCCCAGCACCAAAAAAATAAAAAATAAACTAAGAAGAAAAGAGAGAAGGATGACAGGTTGCAGTAGTTTCTTATCAAGTGATTTCCATTTCCAAAGCCTGCCACCAGGGGGAGGTGGTGCAGTATGAATTGTCTGGTTGCTTTTGTCTCGGAGAGCAGATCTCCTGTTGCTGTTACCATCTGAGAGAAAATAACTGGGGAAAGTGAGACTTCCAAAAAGACAGGGTGTTTTTGGCCAAAGGTGGCATCACACTTGCCACATTTTTTTGAGTTGGAGTAGCTGCATGGGTGGGAGAGAGCCAGGATAGGCAGGTGACTGGAGTGTGGGACTGAGGGCCCTGGCCTTCATGTGTGCAATGATTGTGTGCCTGTGGAAGTCTCATGACTGACATAAAGGGACTTAGTAAGGAGTAGAGATATTTTTCAAAATGAAAATGGCTGTTTATTTTTTTATTACCATGCTTTTTAAAAAGATTGTAAGAAAACTAGGAAAAAATTTAAAAGGTATAAATAAATTAACTCCACCAAAGGCATTTTGGTATATGTTCCTTTAGGGGCAACTTACAATTTTTTTTTTAAGCATGATACCATCAATATATACTGTTGTCTTTTAAAACAATATAGCATGGCATTTTTTCATATATGTAAATATACCTCAGCACAATTATACACCATTGTATGTATCATATACCATTTCATGAATGTTATATCATAAATTTTACATTTCATCTTACATTTTACATAGTTTTCTAAATCTTTTGTGTTTTTCTACCTATAAAGGTAATACATTCTGATTGTAGAAAAATTGAAGTATTGCATAGAAATGTACTTTGTCCACTTACCAAATAACTAGTATTAATAAAATGGTATTTTATTCCTCCAGTAATTAAAAAAATCTGTCATATACATAATTATTATAAATAAAACTTAGAAAACATTTGGATGTCAAATCTTATCATGGGCTTGGGGGACAGAAATGAAAGCATCCTAGGAAGGCTTACAGTTCAAGTAGAGAAAGATTTAAAAACCACTGGTTTTTCAAACTTTACCATTCTATAAGTCACTGATATCTTGTTAAAAATTCAGTTTCTCATCCTAAATATCTAGGAGGACCCAAGATTCTGCATTTCTACTGCATTCCCAGGTAATATTGACACTGATCATCCAGGGATCAGTTGTAGATTTAAATTGCAATACTGTAACAAAAGTGTTATAGTTGAGGTAAAGAAAGAGTGCTGTGGGAGAATAGAGGTGATGACTAACCACTGTGGGATTACTTCATGGCGACAGTGACATCTGATTTAGCCTTGAGAGGAATGTTCCTTGGGGCTAGGAGAGGGGTGCAGCTCATTCCACATGGGACAGTTTAGGCAAAGGCAGGCTTTGATTAAGAATGTAAGCTAAGTCTTAATTGAAAGTTTGCTGTGTGCCTGGCATTGGGCTATGGCTTTTACCCCCTAGACCTGGCAGATGTTAATAGTTCAGTATAGCAAGTAACTAGAGTTCATAGAAGGATGAAAGAATGGCAGAAAATAAGTCTGTACAGCAGACGAATCAAATGCTGAAGGATCTTGAATCCTGACTCAAGAGTTTGTATTTTGACTGGGCATGGTGAAGCATACTGTAATCCTAGTATCTTGAGAGTTTAAGGCAGTAGGATTACAAGTTCAAGGCCAGCCTTGGCAACTTAGCAAGACCCTGTCTCAAAAAATAAAAGGGGGTGGGGATGTAACTCAGTGGTAGAACACCACTCTTGGGTTCATCTCTCGTACCTACCCCCCTGGAAAAAAAAAAGAGGGGGAATCTGTATTTTGTTCTACACATGGGTTATGTGTTTGTGTGTATGTGTACACATATGTACAATCATGTGCCATATGATGTTTCAGTCAATTAAGGACTGCATATTGAGAGTTGCTCCATAAGATTATATCAGTGCTGGGCAAGTGGTGCATGCTTACAATCTCAGGAGGCTGAGGCAGGAGGATTATGAGTTCTTAGCTGGCCCCATCAATTTAGGGAGGTCCTAAGCAACTCAGCAAGACCCTGTCTCAAAATAAAAACAATGGGCTAGGGATATAGCTCAGTTGGTAAAGTGTTTGCCTCACATGCACAATGCCCTGGGTTCAATCTCTAGCACCACAAAAAAAACAACAACAACAACAACAACAACAAAAAAAAACAGAAAGGGCTGGGGGATGTAGCTCAGTAGTTAAAGAAAAGATTACATCAGTGACATTCTAGTCTATTTTAGCTTGTGTAAATATACTTTATGATGTTCACACAATAACAAAATCCACTAATGATGCATTTTTAGAATATACATTAAGCAACACAAACTGTGTCTTGTATGTATAGCTTTTAAAGCTTCATTGAAACAAGCAAAGACTAAATAGAAATAATGTTTATAGTACTTAGTAATAACTATTATTTAAGTATAATTGTTTTCAAATTTTGTTCCGTTTTTCTTCTGTTAAAATGCCGACTTTTTTTTTTAAAGAGAGAATATTTTAATATTTATTTTTTAGTTTTTGGTGGACACAACATCTTTATTTTATTTTATTTTTTAAAATTTTTTTATTAGTTGCTCAAAACATTACAATGATCTTGACATATCTACATTGATTCAAATGGGGTACGTCTTTATTTTATTTTTATGTGGTGCTGAGGATCGAACCCAGCGCCCTGCGCATGCCAGGCGAGCGCTCTACCGCTTGAGCCACATCCCCAGCCCTAAATTGCCAACTTTTAAATTGTTCTTTTAAAATTCAAATTTGATGTATTTTTGAATAAGTGATACATCCACATTGTATAAAATCATAAAGATATGAAAGCATACTCAGTGAGAATTCTCCCACATTTACCCAGTTCTCTGCCCTGGAGGCAGCCAATATTTAATGTATCCAGTGCATCCTGTGTAAGTGTGGTGCGGGTGTCCCCTACCATGCCCTCCAACTCTCCTACCTCTAGCATCCATGCCCTTGGGCCTTCCCTTCCCCTTGGCATGGGCTGGCTTGCACATTTGCATCTAATGAATAGAATACTACAAAGTGGTGGATGTCACTTCTGAAAATGTGTTATGAAAAAAGACTGCGACTTCCATCTTGGTGCTCTCTATCTTTCTGATTACTCACCCTGAGGAAGTCAACTGGGATGCTGTGAGGCAGCCCGTGGGGTGAGAGGCTGATGCCTGCCAGCAGTCTGGAAAGATCCTGGAAGGAGATCCTCCCTCCCCAAGCTGAGTCTTTAGATGGGTCCACATCCCTAGCTGACAGCTTGACCACACTCTTCCAAGGACCTGAGCCAAAGACACAGCTAAGCTGAGCTGGGATTCCTGACCCATGTAAACTGAGAATGAATGCTTAAATTGCTGTTCTGGGGTAATTTTTTCCAAAGTAGTGGATACCTAATTCAGCAAATATGTTTTTGTTTTTCTCCCTCATTTTTATATGAATAGTAATGTGCTATATGCCCAGTTTTGTACCTTTTTTTAAAAAAAAAAATTACTATATCTTGGAATTTGTTCTATATGAATACAATAGCTTCCTTTAAAAATTCTTTTTTCAGTTATGGGAATGCTCTTCCACTTAGCTAAATCCCTAGCACTTTTTTAAAAAAATATTTTTTAGTTGTAGATGGACACAATATCTTTATTTATTTTTATGTGGTGCTGAGATTCAAACCCAGTGCCTCAACATGCTAGGCAAGTGCTCCACTACTGAGCCGCAACCCCAGTCCCCCAGCACATTTATTTATTTATTTATTTATATTTCGACACAGGGCCTTGCTAAGCTGATCTTAAACTTGGCAATCCTGCCTTAGCCTCCTGAGTCATAGAATTATAGGTGTGTACACTGTGCCCAGCTTCATTAAAAAAAAAAAAAAAAAACAGATTTACATACCTTTTGCCAATGTGTGGGTATACCATAATTTATTGAACATAGTTTTCTAGGTGTCCACAGCTTATCAATGACATTGTCAGAATTTTCACTAGGAGTTGGTTCTGGTGAAAGAATCTTTTCCCCTGAACATTGTCCCCTTTCTGCCACAAAAGGCAAAAACACCTAACACCTGCTTGAGCTTTCTGAACACACAGTTCTGCACAGGATGTGGTTCCCCTAGCACAGAGCTACCCCCTCTTTCTTGGCAGTGGCACATGAAGTGTCCAGGGCTCTTCCAGGGCAGCTGCAACCTTGCCAGTTAGTCTCCCTTCTGATCCCATAGCCAAGATGGTTGGAGTGAATCCTGGGGCTGTCTGCCAGAGACTTACACTTTACCCTTTATGCCAGGGCCTGGGAGAAAAAAGCCAGTCCTTAAGTGTCCTTCTGGGCACTCTCCTCCTCCTCATTCCTGGAAGGCTTCTTGGTTTCTACATAGTGCAGAAGAAAGCCATTTTTCTGAAACTGGTGTCTGATGGGGCATATTGGAGCCCCAGCCCCAAGGACCATGATCCATATGTGTGGGAAGGGGCTGGGTACCTACATTCATACCAAAGAACCCCTCATTTCTACTGCAGAGTCACTAAGAAACAGCCTTAATCCTGAGAAAAAGTGTCAGTGCAAAGAGGGATGATTGGGTAGAATAGCCCGGAAAGGTTGCCCTTCTCAGGAAGAAACTAGTCTTCATAACTTTCTCATTTCGTCATACCTTTCTCTCATTGCTCAGGACATGTAGCAAGTCCCCAGTTCCAGCAGACACCTTAGCATTGCTGGGCATGGTGGTGCACGCCTGTAATCCCAGCCACTTGGGAGGCTGAAACAGGAGGATCTCAAGTTCAAGACCAGCCTCAGTAAATTAGCAAGGCTCTAAGCAACTTAGTGAAACCCTGTCTCAAAATGAAGAACAAGGGCTGGGGTTGTGGCTCAGTGGTAGAGCGCTTACCTAGCATATGCGAGGCCCTGGGTTCGATCCTCAGCACCACATAAGAAAATAAATAAAGATATTGTGTCCAACTAAAAAAAAATAAATATTTTTAAAAAATGAAAAACAAAAAGGGTTGAGGGTGTAGCTCAGTGGTTAAGAACCCCTGGGTTCAATCCTCAGTACCAAAAGAA